CTCTTATCCTCGTATCTGACAATGTATTTCTGTAGTATGACAGATAACACGGCTCTGGATGTGAGGAGAAGAATAGAGTGAGTGATTGAGGTTAGTTTTACGCCGTTTTTAGCAAATTTCAGCAATATCACGGCGGGGGACACCAGAAATGGGCTTCACACATTGTACCCATGTGAGGAATCGAATCCGTGACGAGCGAACGCTTTAACCACTAGGCTACCCCACCGACCCTAAGAGAATGGATAGTGATTGAGTGAGTGATTGAGTGAGTTTAGTTTTACGCCGCAATATTCCAGGTATGTGGCGGCGGTCTGTAAATAATCGAGTCTGGGCCAGACAATCCAGTGATTAACATCATTGGCATCAATCTGCGCAATTGGAAACCGATGACATGTGTCAGCAAAGCCAGCGAGCCTGACCACCCGATCACGTTAGTCGCCTCTTACGACAAGCATGGGTTACTGAAGATCAATATTCTAACCCGGACCTTCATTGGTAGAAGGGATAGAGGTGGGTGAGTGAGTGAAGTAAGTGGCTGGGTGAGTGAGTGAGTTGAAGGGGTTGAACAGTACGCATGTTTTACGACACCGTGTCAGTACGCATGTTTGACGTGGACCCCGCATAGTACGGCGCTGACAAACCAAGGGTAATATACTGGACAAAATAAGTTAGGGATATTGGTATTTTTATGATTGATATTTATCAATGTGTCAATGAATAAATACATCATTATTCATAATTTCAAAATTTACATATATCCCCAACTATTTTTGTCCAGTATAGTTTACAGCAGTTGTGCATTCAAACCCCCAAACAAGGGTCATAAACTTGACTGCCGAATAGTGGCAACTGAAGCTCTAGTGCCTCAAGTCCATGAAAGTTTGAAACATTCCTGTACATTTCCTAAATGGCTACGGCCAGTAGCAGTGTGTCTGGGGTGAATAAATGACTGTGTGCCCTGGAGAATTCACCATTGAATAAATGACCATAATGTGGCGCCGTGACTCTCTGGTCAGTGGCGTTAACATTACCTCCTGAAGGGTTATACCACATGCTAAAGGTTATACCACAAGCTGAAGGGTTATACCACATGGTAAAGGTTATACCACAAGCTGAAGCGATAACACCACATGCTAAAGGTTACACCACAAGCTGAAGGAATCACACTACATGCTAAAGGTTATACCACATGCAAGCTTAAGGGATCACACCACATGCTAAAGGTTATACCACAAGCTGAAGGGATCACACCACATGCTAAAGGTTATACCACAAGCTGGAGGGATCACACCACATGCTAAAGGTTACACCACAAGCTGAAGGGATCACACCATATGGTAAACAACTTACACCACACGATGAAGGGTTACACCTCAAGCAAAACGGTTACACAACATGGTAAAAGTTACACCACAAGCTGAAGGGATCACAACACATGCTAAAGGTTACACCACAAACTGAAGGGATCACACCACATGGTAAAGGTTATAGCACAGGCTGTGAAGGGATCACACTACATGGTAAAGGTTATACCACAAGCGGAAGGGATCACACCACATGGTAAAGGTTATACCACAAGCTGAAGTGATCACACCACATGGCAAAGGTTAAACCACAAGCTGAAGTGATCACATCACATGGTAAAGGTTATACCACAAGCTTAAGGGATCACATCACATGCTAAAGGTAATACCACAAGCTGAAACGATCACATCACATGGTAAAGGTTATACCACAAGCTTAAGGGATCACACCACATGCTAAAGGTTATACCACAAGCTGAAGGGATCACACCACATGCTAAAGGTTACACCACAAGCTGAAGGGATCACACCACATGCTAAAGGTTACACCACAAGCTGAAACGATCACACCACATGGTAAAGGTTACACCACAAGCTGAAGAGATCACACCACATGCTAAAGGTTATACCACAAGCTGAAGAGATCACACCACATGGTAAAGGTTATACCACAAGCTAATGGGATCACACTACATGGTAAAGGTTATACCACAAGCTGAAGGGTTATACCACATGGTAAAGGTTATACCACAAGCTGAAGGGACAAGTCAAAACATTGATTACACAAGAGTCTCGTTTCCTGCTGACTGGATTCCGTCCTGCTGCGCATCTTAGTACAATAACCAGTCCAGAATTTTGATACCAATTCATTCAGCTGGATACATTATATTTATCAGTATTATTTGATACATCTAAGCACTTGTATATTGCAACACTACGCTCCTTCTAATCCTTGCAAACACGTCGTGCAGCGTGCTCTGTCGTACAGCAGGCTCTGACAAACGGAAATCGCGGAAATCTCAAAACGAGGCTCTGCCGCTAGAAAAGTTTGGCGGTCTGGTACGGACTTGGTTTTATATCAATCACATTGTGCGTTACAAAACTACACTGAATAAGCGCAAGAAACACATAACCGGAGTAACTAGTAAGACAGATGAATTGTGAATCATTTTACGACTTCATCAAACAGGGACAGTCTGTGACGTCTTAGTTAAGGTCATGCTGCCTCAACCTCGCCATAAAATATAGAAATACGAAGTTATTAAAGTTTCAAATTAAAATTAACTTGTAAATACCATTTTCTTATGAAACAAGGAATTGGAATTCAGTGTAACCATACTTGTTTGTGGTGTCTCTTTTTACTTTCACACGAGAAAATTCAGATCGGCTGAAAAGTAGGTCATTGTCTGAATAGGTTAATGAGACTCATGTTTCGGTTTGCACACCGCATGCTAAAGGTTATACCACAAGCTGAAGGGATCACATCACATGGTAAGGTTATACCACAGGCTGAAGGGATCACACTACATGGTAAAGGTTATACCACAAGCGGAAAAGGATCACATCACATGGTAAAGGTTATACCACAAGCTGAAGGGATCACACCACATGGTAAAGGTTATACCACAAGCTGAAGCGATAACACCACATGCTAAAGGTTACACCACAAGCTGACGGGATCACATCATATAGTAAACAACTTACACCACACGATGAAGGGTTACACCTCAAGCAAAAAGGTTACACCACAAGCTGAAGGGATCACAACACATGCTAAAGGTTACACCACAAGCTGAAGGAATCACACCACATGCTAAAGGTTATACCACAAGCGGAAGGGATCACATCACATGGTAAAGGTTATACCACAAGCTGAAGGGATCACACCACATGGTAAAGGTTATACCACAAGCTGAATGGCTCATTCCACATGGTAAAGGTTATACCACAAGCTGAAGTGATCACACCATATGCCAAAGTTTAAACCACAAGCTGAAGGGATCATACCACATAGTAAAGGTTATACCACAGGCTTAAGGGATCATATCACATGCTAAAGGTCATACCACAAGCTGAAGGGATCACACCACATGCTAAAATTTACACCACAAGCTGAAGGGATCACACCACATGGTAAAGGTTACACCACAAGCTGAAGGGATCACACTACATGCTAAAGGTTACACCACAAACTGAAGGGATCACACCACATGGTAAAGGTTACACCACAAGCTGAAGGGTTATACCACATGGTAAAGGTTATACCACAAGTGGAAGGGATCACACCACATGGTTAAGGTTACACCACAGCTGAAGGGATCACACCACATGGTAAACAACTTACACCACACGATGAAGGGCTATACCACAAGCTGAAGGGATCACACCACATGCTAAAGAGCTTACGTCACACGATGAAGGGTTACACCTCCTGTAAGAGGTTTACATTACATGTTACATGTTACACCTACTGTTGACGGATTACATAACATGCTAAAGGGTTACACCTCATCTAAGAGGTTTGCATTACATGTTACCGGTTACAGCTGTTGAAGGGTTACATAACACGCTAAAGGGTTACACCTTATTCCAGAGGTTTGCATTACATGTTACCGGTAACACCTGTTGAAGGGTTACATAACACGCTAAAGGGTTACACCTTATTCCAGAGGTTTGCATTACATGTTACCGGTAACACCTCGTGCTGAAGGGTTACATAACACGCTAAAGGGTTACACCTTATTCCAGAGGTTTGCATTACATGTTACCGGTAACACCTCGTGCTGAAGGGTTACATAACACTCCAAAGGGTTACACCTCATTCATGCTAAAGGGATCACACCATCACATGACAGGGTTACAACACATATTAAAGTGTTACAATACCTGCTACAGTATTATTCCTCATGCTGATGGGCTGCACCACATGCTAAAGGGATCACACCATCACATGACAGGGTTACAACACATATTAAAGTGTTACAATACTTGCTACAGTATTATTCCTCATGCTGATGGGCTGCACCACATGCTAAAGGGATCACACCATCACATGCCAGGGGTTACAACACATATTAAAGTGTTACAATACCTGCTACAGTATTATTCCTCATGCTGATGGGCTGCACCACATGCTAAAGGGATCACACCATCACATGCCAGGGTTACAACACATATTAAAGTGTTACAATACCTGCTACAGTATTATTCCTCATGCTGATGGGCTGCACCACATGCTAAAGGGATCACACCATCACATGACAGGGTTACAACACATATTAAAGTGTTACAATACTTGCTACAGTATTATTCCTCATGCTGATGGGCTGACATGCTAAAGGGATCACACCATCACATGCTAACACATATTAAAGGGTTCACACCATCACATGCTGATGGGCTGCACCACATGCAAAGGGTTCACACAACACATATTTAAAGTGTTACAATACCTGCTACAGTATTATTCCCCATGCTGATGGGCTGCACCACATGCTAAAGGGATCACACCATCACATGCCAGGGTTACAACACATATTAAAGTGTTACAATACTTGCTACAGTATTATTCCTCATGCTGATGGGCTGCACCACATGCTAAAGGGTTCACACCATCACATGCCAAGGTTACAACACATATTAAAGTGTTACAATACTTGCTACAGTATTATTCCTCATGCTGATGGGCTGCACCACATGCTAAAGGGATCACACCACGGCTACGACGTCAACTTCTACGGGAGGAAATACAACACCGCCTATGTGAGTACTATAAAGAGGTATACACAGGTATAAGTACTACCAACAGCTTCAGCGTTTTAGAGAAGGACAATATGAGTGAGTGAGTTTGGTTTTACGCCGCTTTTAGCAATATTCCAGCAACATCGCGGCGGGGAACACCAGAAATGGGCTTAACACATTGTACCCATGTAGGAAATCGAACCCGGGCCTTCGGCGTGACAAGCAAACGCTTTAACCAGTAGGCTACCCCACCTCCCTCGGACAAAATGAAGGTCTTTCTGTGCTAATTTATTTCAGTGTTTGGTAATTGCATGATATCCTTTTCAAACATGACCATACCTCATGATATCAGACGCTTAAAATAACTACATTCTGTCAATAAGCAAGTTAATCTTTACCTATGACGAGGCATGTTCGGATTCGAACCCGGTCTTCGGTGAGACAAGGCAACGGTGTATCCATTAGGCTTCCCAATGTCTAGGTTATTCTTTTTTAAGGTTTCGTTAACAGTTATTATAGCAGGGACAGTGGTTAAAACGTTTGCTCTTCAAGACCTGGATTCGATTCCCCACATGGGTACGATGTGTGAATCCCATTTCTGGGGTCCCCGCCTTGATATTGATACAAAAGTGTCAAAAGCGGCGTAAAAGCATACTCACTCACTAAATGACCATTTATGTTGTACGCAAGGTAAATATGCCGGAATATTATCAAAATCAAAGCATTAACTTTCGATAACAACGGGTTGGGTTAAATGACACAAACCTCTTACGTGATGAACAGAGGTGTGTTCTTGTTTCCGCAGGTGACAGAGGACGGCTACATCGGATTCGACGCCAACGTGGATTACGAGCATTTTATTTTCAAAGATGGAGCTCGTGATATCAACCTTGATTTCCCTTTAATTGCGCCTTATTATTTCGACGGAGAACACATCACAAATGAGTACCAGGGACATATCTACTACAGACGTGTATTTGCTAATACAAGCCAGAGCTTTCTCGCTGAGCTACAGTACTACATGCTGAATGCTACAGTTGGCACGGCGACCTTCAAACCTGATGTAGCTCTGGTGGTTACTTGGGAAAACGTTACTGATAAGTTGCAGGTTGAGAACGGACAATGTGATGGAATTACTAGCAGTCCTTGTAAGGTACGTCGATACTTGTCCCTGGTGAAAATATACAATCCATCTATTTAACAGATATTGGTGTAAGCATGTGCATTTAACAACACACATTGATCTTAATGCATCTATTTATATGACACACTCTGGTGTATAGTCATGTATTTATATACCACATATTGATGTAAGTGTTTTTATTTACACGCACTGATGTATGTACGCGCAATATAAACAGACACTGTCCTATGTACATGTATGAATAAACAAATGAATTAATTGATATCTTTATTTCTTCCAGATCATATACATATATACATCAAATATTCACAAGAAAATATTCACAAGGCGGGTACACACATGTACAGGCAAAGGCAAGGGAGGATATAAAAATGCATGTAAAGAGCACACATTGAGGATCATACAATGGACATTCAGTCATTTAACACACATTGAGGAACATTGAACATGCATTCATATAACACACGTTGAGGAACATACAATGGACATTCAGTCATTTAACACACATTGAGGAACATACAATGAACATTCACTCATTTAACACACATTGAGGAACATACAATGAACATTCACTCATATAACACACATTGAGGAACATACAATGAACATTCATTCATATAACACACATTGAGGAACATACAATGAACATTCATTCATATAACACACATTGAGGACATAGTTTACAATGAACATTGAGGAACACTCATTCAACATATAACACACATTGAGGAACATACAATGAACATTCATTCATATAACACACATTGAGGAACATACAATGAACATTCACTCATATAACACACATTGAGGAACATACAATGAACATTCATTCATATAACACACGTTGAGGAACATACAATGAACATTCACTAATACACATGAGGAACATACAATGAACATTCATTCATATAACACACATTGAGGAACATACAATGAACATTCACTCATATAACACACACATTGAGGAACATACAATGAACATTCACTCATATAACACACATTGAGGAACATACAATGAACATTCATTCATATAACACACATTGAGGAATATTTACAATGAACATTCACTCATATAACACACATTGAGGAACATACAATGAACATTCACAATAACACACATTGAGGAACATACAATGAACATTCATTCATATAACACACATTGAGGAACATACAATGAACATTCACTCATATAACACACATTGAGGAACATACAATGAACATTCACTCATATAACACACATTGAGGAACATACAATGAACATTCATTCATATAACACACATTGAGGAACATACAATGAACATTCATTCATATAACACACATTGAGGAACATACAATGAACATTCATTCATATAACACACATTGAGGAACATACAATGAACATTCACTCATATAACACACATTGAGGAACATACAATGAACATTCATTCATATAACACACGTTGAGGAACATACAATGAACATTCACTCATATAACACACATTGAGGAACATGCAATGAACATTCACTCATATAACACACATTGAGGAACATACAATGAACATTCACTCATATAACACACATTGAAGAACATACAATGAACATTCACTCATATAACACACATTGAGGAACATACAATGAACATTCACTCATATAACACACATTGAGGAACATACAAAATATTGAACATTCATTCATATAAGCACACATTGAGGAACATACAATGAACATTCATTCATATAACACACATTGAGGAACATACAATGAACATTCATTCGTTAAACATACATTGAGGAACATACAATGAACATTAACTCATATAACACACATTGAGGAACATACAATGGACATTCAGTCATATAACACTCGTTGAGGAACATACAATAAACATTCACGCATATAACACACATTGAGGAACATACAATGAACATTCATTCATATAACACACATTGAGGAACATACAATGAACATTCATTCATATAACACACATTGAGGAACATACAATGAACATTCATTCATATAACACACATTGAGGAACATACAATGGACATTCATTCATATAACACACATTGAGGAACATACAATGAACATTCACTCATTTAACACACATTGAGGAACATACAATGAACATTAACTCATATAACACACATTGAGGAACATACAATGAACATTCATTCATATAACACACATTGAGGAACATACAATGAACATTCACTCATATAACACACATTGAGGAACATACAATGTACATTCACTCATATGACACACATTGAGGAACATACAATGAACATTCACTCATATAACACACATTGAGGAACATACAATGAACATTCATTCATATGACACACATTGAGGAACATACAATGAACATTCACTCATATAACACACTTTGAGGAACATACAATGAATTCATTCATTCATATAACATACATTGAGGATTCACATACAATCATTCATATATAACACACATTGAGGAACATACAATGAACATTCACCATATAACACATTGAGGAACATACAATGAATTTATTCATATAACACACATTGAGGAACATACAATGAACATTCACTCATATAACACACATTGAGGAACATACAATGAACATTCACTCATATAACACACATTGAGGAACATACAATGAACATTCACTCATATAACACACATTGAGGAACATACAATGAACATTCACTCATTTAACACACATTGAGGAACATACAATGAACATTCACTCATATAACACACATTGAGGAACATACAATGTACATTCATTCATATAACACACATTGAGGAACATACAATGAACATTCACTCATATAACACACATTGAGGAACATACAATGAACATTCACCCATATGACACACATTGAGGAACATACAATGAACATTCATTCATATAACACACATTGAGGAACATACAATGGACATTCATTCATATAACACACATTGAGGAACATACAATGAACATTAACTCATATAACACACATTGAGGAACATACAATGGACATTCATTCATATAACACACATTGAGGAACATACAATGGACATTCAGCCATTTAACACATATTGAGGAACATACAATGAACATTCACTCATTTAACACACATTGAGGAACATACAATGAACATTAACTCATATAACACACATTGAGGAACATACAATGAACATTCCTTCATATAAGACACATTGAGGACCATAGTTTACAATGAACATTCACTCATATAACACACATTGAGGAACATACAATGTACATTCAATCACATGACACACATTGAGGAACATACAATGAACATTCACTCATATAACACACATTGAGGAACATACAATGAACATTCCTTCATTAAACACACATTGAGGAACATTGAACATGCATTCATATAACACACGTTGAGGAACATACAATGAACATTCATTCATATAACACACATTGAGGAACATACAATGGACATTCACTCATATAACACACATTGAGGAACATACAATGAACATTCACTCATATAACACACATTGAGGAACATTGAACATGCATTCATATAACACACGTTGAGGAACATAGTTTACAATGAACATTCACTCATATAACACACATTGAGGAACATACAATGAACATTCACTCATATAACACACATTGAGGAACATACAATGAACATTCACTCATATAACACACATTGAGGAACATACAATGAACATTCACTCATATAACACACATTGAGGAACATACAATGAACATTCACTCATATAACACACATTGAGGAACATACAATGAACATTCACTCATATAACACACATTGAGGAACATACAATGAACATTCACCCATATGACACACATTGAGGAACATACAATGAACATTCACTCATATGACACACATTGAGGAACATACAATGAACATTCAACTCATATAACACACATTGAGGAACATACAATGAACATTCACTCATATAACACACATTGAGGAACATACAATGAACATTCACTCATATGACACACATTGAGGAACATACAATGAACATTCACTCATATAACACACATTGAGGAACATACAATGAACATTCATTCATATAACACACATTGAGGAACATACAATGAACATTCACTCATATAACACACATTGAGGACCATAGTTTACAATGACCATGCATTCATATAACACACATTGAGGAACATACAATGAACATTAACTCATATAACAGACATTGAGGAACATACAATGGACATTCAGTCATTTAACACACATTGAGGAACATACAATGGACATTCAGCCATTTAACACACATTGAGGAACATACAATGAACATTCACTCATTTAACACACATTGAGGAACATACAATGAACATTAACTCATATAACACACATTGAGGAACATACAATGAACATTCCTTCATATAAGACACATTGAGGACCATAGTTTACAATGAACATTCACTCATATAACACACATTGAGGAACATACAATGTACATTCAATCACATGACACACATTGAGGAACATACAATGAACATTCACTCATATAACACACATTGAGGAACATACAATGAACATTCCTTCATTAAACACACATTGAGGAACATTGAACATGCATTCATATAACACACGTTGAGGAACATACAATGAACATTCATTCATATAACACACATTGAGGATCATACAACGGACATTCAGTCACTTAACACACATTGAGGAACATACAATGAACATTCACTCATATAACACACATTGAGGAACATTGAACATGCATTCATATAACACACGTTGAGGAACATAGTTTACAATGAACATTCACTCATATAACACACATTGAGGAAGATACAATGAACATTCACTCATATAACACACACTGAGGAACATACAATGAACATTCACTCATATAACAAACATTGAAGAACCGACAATGAACATTCACTCATTTAACACACATTGAGGAACATACAATAAACATTCACTCATATAACACACATTGAGGAACATACAATGTACATTCATTCATATAACACACATTGAGGAACATACAATGTACATTCACTCATTTAACACACATTGAAGGATATACAATGAACATTCACCCATATGACACACATTGAGGAACATTGACCATTCACTCATTTAACACACATTGAGGAACATACAATGTACATTCATTCATATAACACACATTGAGGAACATACAATGAACATTCACTCTTTTAACACACATTGAGGAACATACAATGAACATTCATTCATATAACACACATTGAGGAACATACAATGAACATTCACTCATGTAATATAGGGGACAGCATACGGACACAATTTGTTTCTTATATACAACTTTACATTCTTCAAATATATCCGGAGTTTAGTATAGGGACAACATACTAACACAATTTGTTTCTCATATACAACGTTACATTCTTCATGTATATCCGGACAGTGATATAGGTACAACATACTGACACAATTTGTTTCTCATATACAACTTTACATTCCTCATATATATCGGGACAGTGATATAGGTACAACATGCTGACACCTATGCTATTAAATGTATTTTTGGCAAATGGAATGTTTACACATTTCTGAGTGATCAAGTAATGTTGAGATAGCAAAACATGTGAGCGGCTAGCTAATGCAGAACCAACCAACCAACCAACCGACCAACATTGTGAATATATCATGATGATCCGATGAAACTTGATGTGAAACAATTACATTACCTGTCTCTTTATGTATTTCAGAGCGCCACATTCCAGCTAGTTTTGGTGGCCTGTCCCATGCATACATTTGTTATCTTCAACTATCTCTGGCTGGATATTCCCCACAAACCGTATTACCAAGTGAGTTTGTAGTGAAGTTTGAACACTCAAGATGTATGCTGCCACATCCTAAACTGACAGAATATCATTATCTCAAAACGAGGTGGCGAGTGTGTGAGTGAGTGAGTGAGTGAATGAACGAGTGGATGAGGAGTTTGGGGGAGCTGCATACATAATTGAATGAAAATCCCCATATCAACCAGGTCCATATGTTCCAGTGTACTCATTGGCGTGAATAAGTGGCTTGCCTTTGCATGTGTTTGTGACAAGTAGCACTGGTAGGGAAGTGTGAACTCACCTTTTCCCAAACACCAGGTATCATCCCTATTTTCTAAACATGTGTCATGACATGTTCGGATCTTTCAAACAATCGGAAAGAGAATGGAAACGGAAGTGATCATATCGCTGCTGTATATCTCACGGCGTAACGCCTTAATGTAGGAGGAAAGCTCGTAGTGATGAAAACCTCTATTCTTCACCACGAAAGATCATTACTAAGAACCGAGCGCACTGCCATAGGTTTCTGAGACACCTAAGGTTTCAACTCTGTAGATTGAATTTGGGGCGCCTTAGACGTTTCGACCACTGGTGATCAGGATGTGATTTCAATAAACAGGGTGACGCTCTTGGTTATGTCTGTGCTGTTTGCTGGTTTAGGCTTATTTGAGACTTGCACTCTTACAGGCTGGCATCAACGGAGGTCATGGCGTCGGATGGACTCCGGTGTGTGACGGATGTAATACCCAAGATCTTCCCCGGACAATCGGAAGTGACGTCATGGGGAGATTCATATTTAAAGTTTCAAAAGATACCATCGAACGAGGCGGATGCACTAGTAGTAGAAGTAAGACATTGCAGCATATTAGACTTACACTTACTTTAAAAGAACGCAGTCGATGGAGTAAAAGGCAAAATGATAAGTGCTATGTTTATAACATTTCCTGCACCTGCAATAAACGATTGTATCTGCAATACAAAACCCGAAGGGACAGAATAGGTCGGCAGCGCTCTAGTTTGTCGTGAGAGGCTGCACGATTTGAATTGGCTTTCATGCTGAGGGACTTGGTTAATGGGATGTTCACATGCACCAAACACATGGGACGATGTTCATTATATCCACCACTGGTTGTTTGACCGCAATCTGTTGAGACTGTAAGTATATGTTGTGTATGAGTTACACAACCAACAATCTGACTTAAACTCGTTTACACACTACCGTTATATTGCTGCGATATTGCCTATTTGAATGAACATTCTCTTACTCACACACTCAGCAATATTCCAGCTTTATGGTCTGTAAATGATCAAATCTGGACCAGATAATCCATCAACATCATGAGCATCGATCTCGAAGCCTGACCGCCCGATCCTGTTAGTTGCTTCTCAGGACAAGTGTTGAATTCTGATTGTATTTGTCAATGGTCATGGCCTAGTCCGAGTACACATGACATGTTTCCATGACATGTTTAAAACCGATCTCATTCCCTCTATTCTGCTTCTGTTTTCAGGCGCTATACAGATTGTTCCAACAGTCGTCGGAATGTTAGGGGGTGAGCTCCTGGACATTTCCGGTCCATGTCTGGACAATTCCGTGGTTGTCGTGTGTCGGTTCGGGACTGGCGAGACAGCAGTAACCTCCCAGGGGTTCAGGTTTAACTCCATGAGGTTGAAGTGCCCGGTGCCGAGACTCACAGAGAGAGGGTCAGTGACGGTGTCCGTGTCTACAAACGGAGCTAACAGCTTTTCGGGACAAGCCGACATATACGTCGGTAAGTAACACGAGAACATGTCCACATCGTCATTAATGTTATGTTAAGGAAATACCTGCGTCTTCATTAATTCATTAAAAGTTCGTATGCAAGCGCAATGGGCTGTGACAGGAAGTTTCGTTTGTGAGAGTGCAATTCACTGCGTGTGTTCTATATCCTATCATTACCAGCTCGAGTTCAAATCCCAGATTTAGATGCATGTAAGGTTCGGTTTAGCCACTGATTTCAGCAAAGTTTTAAACGTCTTAGATCTCATTCACTCACTCATTTATTAAGATGACAGCGTCAGTGATGTCAGACAGACAGACAGATTTATTCAATAAAGAGGCCTTGGGCCCATGATACATACTTTCCTGTTGATATCATATAATAAATGAGTGAGAATATAGCTGCAGAGCAGGTACAGGTATGCAAATTTGTAATAAATATTATAACAATATGTATGTATAAATTGTTGGTTATAAAATTAATGACGATGAGCCTTATTGTGTACCAGTGATAACTGAACGGCTAAGTGCTTTGGGTTAATAGTATTGGGTCACAGTTTCCATACTTTATAATACTATAAATACAGACATTTACTATGCAGGGTAGAGACATTACAGTGTACCAGTAATAACTGCAAGGCTAAGTGGTTATGGATTAATAGTGTTGGCTCTCAGTTTCCATACATTGTATAAACACATACGTATACTATGCAGGATAGAGACATTACAGTGTACCAGCAGTAACTGCAAGACTAAGTGCTTATGGATTAAAAGTGTCAGTGATGTAGTAGACCTCATCCCAGAAGATAGGTGGTTTGTCACGTCATACAAGACCGACGTTAAAAATGGTATTATATGTTAACTTGCCTGGCGCTGGGCATTAACAGTATAAAACAAAGACAGATCAGCTTAAACAATGTCTGACTGGGGCATCCATGTTAAACTGTTGCATGGTATCGGACTAACACAAGCAACCTCACACATTCGCACATATTCGCACGTGCGATACGTGAGTGCAGTTACATTGAGCGTGACGGTAGACCCCCCACTCACCTCACCAAGGTCTGACTGGGGCCCTGGGCCCTGCTCCACAACGTGATCGTAGCGCTGAGAAGATCGTAACTCGCATACTTTAAAATAGACTAGCGGCAGTCGCAGCACTGAGATCCCTTCACTGAATGAGGCCCAGTGCATCGTGCAAAGTGTAAAAGCTGGCTAAAATAGGGTTCTTGTGATCCTACTCTGTTGCATGGATGATCGCAGTACTCTCCAAACGCACTGATAAAACTATAATATTCTTCAATTGTGGCTGAGTTTAGTTTTAGGCCGCTTTTAGCAATATTCCAGCAATATCACAGCGGGGGCAGCACCAGAAATGGCTTTCACACATTGCACCCATGTGGGAATCGAACCCGAGTCTTCGGCGTGACGAGCGAACACTTTAACCACTATGCTACCCACGCCCACATAGTTCATTCAGGTAATTTTCAACGGATGTAGTCACCCCCTTTGTAGTGATCCCCTGTAAATTTTATTTGCCGTGTCCCAAAATTTGCTGTACTAAGGGGCACTTGAGGCAAAATACATTGTCAGAATGTACACTATAGGATGGATATTGTTTCTTTTTTGTTTCAGTGTTACCAGCTGTCGTTGGTAAAAGTTTGTCCCTACCGGACAATTGGTACGGTGTTAACGCCGACAGTCTCACCATGAGCTGGGACCCTGCAGCACTGTCAACTGACCCGGGGGTCAAGGTCGACATCCGACTTGTAGGATACTCGGAAACAGACACAGATGTACTTTTCTTTACACATTTTGATTTACCCAAATATGTAGAGGAAACGATGTTCGAGTTTGATAAGGTCATGATAGAAAACTACACGATTTGTTCAGGTAATAAAGTTATTTACCTGAAATGGATAATCGTCGACACACCAAACGCACCTTTGGGTGTGACACAAATCGGTGACCTTCCCAGAGGCGCCCAGAGACCTACGATTGGGAAGATTCGGCCCTAACTGATATGCCTAAATATGTCGAATTAAACGCAGGCAGAGGAATACATTTTGATAGTCATTCAGCTTCACAAAACACAATACTGCGTCATGAGCATGCACTAGTGGGTACACACTGGCGCCTATGGAAATAGACACCGTTAGTATAACGTTCCTATTAAACCCGTTGAGTTGGGCGAGTCATAATTGACTAATGTTCGTTAACGTGGACATAGCCAAAGGCAAATTATCACATCACAAAACAATGAAGTTATTGCTTCACAACCAGTGCTATAGATGCTATTGACTATATTTGACGGGTTCAGATGTTGACTCTATATGGTTGTAATGGTCCTGACAGTCAGCGTACAAACTGATACATTGTCTCAAGCTGTCTGTCATCCTCGATAATATCCAGGGTATACGTTACGATCACTCTCCACTATACCCTGGATGCATCCACTGCTTGGCCCGATAACTATATTACCTCCCTTTGCTGGCTCCGCATTCTCACAGTAGCCAATCAGCTAAGCCGCCGTTACATCCGAGCCTGTCAACAAAGATAGCGGTCGCAGTCGCGAAGGTTTGTTCGCAGTGCCACTCAGATTTTTGGAGAAATAATACAGACAAATTGACGGATCTGAAACTTTCAAAAATATATAAAAGAACTCCTTTCACATCTGTCAGAGTACCCTCTGCATCAATTGTGTTGCCAAGTGTAAACGGTTAAGTAATTTAAGAAGCGAAATTGAGTTGTGATTGGTTCGCTCAACTTCCCAGCGTAGACACCTGATTGGATAAAAAAGCCAGCCAAGGGAGGTAATAAAATCATCGGGCCAAGCCGTGGATGCATCCGGGGTATAGTGGAGAGTGATCGTAACGTATTCCCTGGAGATTATCGAGGATGACTGTATGTATACTTTATATATATCGAAAATGTAGACCATCCAGCCCATAGTTCACAAACAGTATATTGATGGAAGGAATGCCTGTGTACATTACTGCCTTAATATCAATACACGTATTAATATTATTACTTCACATCAAAGCAGTTCCCAACCTATTGTCTTCTCAGTTTGAAATATACAGCATACACCTAGTTTCCATGCATTTTTACGAAGTTTCATAATATTGACTGATTTTAAATGCCCATTAAAAAACCCCGCTTACATAATCACTCAAATTGTCATGCAATGGATACTGTAAATTTAGGCTTGCTGATTCTGTAAGTTCCATTCGTTGACGCGATCTTTGAGGACATAGCTGTTCCTCCATTGCAGGTCAGTTGGAAGGTGCTATCGAAATTTGCAACAGGGGTCGACAACTCCGGCACATACACCATCAACCCATCTGATTATCAGTGTTTTCCATCTGACTGCGACATCTACGAGGCCGCCGTCGTTGAGGTTGAACTGCAGAAGGAATTCGTACGCCTGGCAAACAACAGAACGTAAAGACACTCTTTATTCTTTGTCTTGAGATGGCGTGACGTGTGGTGTTATGTATCGTATAACACTGGTCTTGATTCTGATTAATTCAGAAAGAGTACCATATGGCAGTTTTCATATCATACCCCATATCAATATGTGCCTCGATATTATCACAAGGCCTTCCGGGACGGTGGGGGTAGCCTAGTGGTTAAAGCGTACGCTCGTCATACCGAATACCCGGGTTCGATTCCCCACATGGGTACAATGTGTGAAGCAATGTGAGATTTCAAGAGGCGCCACAGAAACATACGATTGGGAATCCAAGATTCGGTTTCTAGGATTGTCAAAAGCATACCAAAGCGCGAAAGTTTCAGCAAAGTTGCAATCATCTAAGATGACATACCATCTTGTTTCCTCACATAATGAGCATACATAAAAACTTCACAAAGAATAAAGGACTGAAATATTTAAATTGATTTTCTGCAGAGTGATGAATTCGGGACCTGTCGCCACTGGCTGGTACATCAACAGCGACATGACCCGTCGTTATGGCAACGATTGGCCCCAGCAACGCTGCATGCGGTGGTACAACAGTGACCGACTGTCCATGGACTGGCTTGACCAGCTACTCCATTGTCCATGCAACGTGGATCAAGCCCTGGCGGACTTCGGACGATTTCAAACCGATTTGTCCTGCAGCATGTTCTCTAAAAGTCCAACTAACTGTTATTATCATCGTGCAACTGGTCAACGCAGTGCGGCCCATTGTGTGCGGTCTGTTCAGCCCTCGTAAGTAGATTCCATTTTCGGTGATCCAGGGACTTGGGGCGGTGGGGTAGCATAGTGGTTAAAGCGTTCGCTCGTCACGCCGAAAACCCGGGTTCGATTCCCCACATGCATACAATGTGTGAAGCCCAATTCGGGTATCCCCCGCTGTGATATTGCTGGAATTTTGCTAAAAGCGACATAAAATCAAATACACTCACTCACTATCCCGGGTTTTATAAATTTTACATCACTGTTCACATATGCCATTTGCTCAAGCATGGGTTGCTGAAGACCAGTTCTAACCCTGGATCTTCTCGGGTACATAGTTGTTTTGACATCGTGGCATGACAATGACGGACATACCGCATACTATGTGTTGATGTTGGGGGGCGCGGGGTAGGGAAGAGTGTTTCGCACGTAGAGTGAAATGGGTGTTTTCTTATTTTGTACAGGAATCAGCTGAAGACGTTTAGAGGTATATGGAAACGTGTGACAGTTTTATGACTAATAAGTCAAAGAGGGTTGGCTTGGCGGACATAATGGCTACATTTCATAACAATGTCTGTTGCCAGGTCAGCGGGAGCGGGCAATCAATGCTGCTACGACGCATACGGTCTTCTCATGAACGCTGCCGACACCTACCAAGGTAGCACCCCTGACCGCAGCCACGACTGGGGCGCCGCCCCCTACAACGAACCCGGCCGTGTACCCTCATTTTCCCACTGGATCAAGGATGTGGTAACTTTTTACTACTGCTGTCTGTGGACCGAGTACAGCCACTGTAATTACTACATGGACCAGCGGGCTACCCGCGACTGTAACGGGTACACTCCTCCTAGAGCAGGTGAGCATACCTCTGGATATTGGACTAAATCCGTAAAGGGAAGCGGTAACCAGGGAACGACATTCCAGGTGTGATTTGATTCCGTCTTAGATTGTAATGGGCAGTGCTACCCTATAGGATCAGGGTAGCATCGCCCCGAAACGGGGTAGATCGCAATGCGGTACCAGGAAGATATTTGATGAAAAGGGTCAATTTGTTCCATCTAACCGGTGAGGAGAATATTAATCACTTTGAGTCTAAGGTGCTTGGTTTGAATCACAATTCAGCTCTCCCCAAACTATCGTTTATCGCTTTGGGATACAAAAGGGTGTGATAATAAAAGGTTTGTTTGTTTTGGAAGTTAGAATAAACGGCACGTAGTAACTACTGTTATATCAGGTAGTCACCGTGCTATTGCTCACAATCGCTTGAAATAAATTGGTTATGTCTTGAATATCGACGTCTTTTGATCTCTTCATCTCTAATAAGAATTTCTCTGCTTCCTTTGACAGCCATAGCTTACGGCGACCCACACATCACGACATTTGACGGAAAGCTGTACAACTTTGGTGGCAAGGGAGACTACTACCTGGTAAAGTCGGACCAGTTTTCTCTCCAAGGGAAGTTCACCATGGGGCAACAAACACATGGTAGGGATTGTATCTCCTTCTGGTATTCATAAACCTATTCCCTAGGATTGGTTGCGTTTTTGTGCTACAAATAGCATAACCTTTCATTAAAATATAGGAATTGTAGTGCTGCAAAAGATTTAACCTTTCATTAAAATATAGGAATTGTAGTGCTGTAAATGACTTTACATTAACTTAAAGCATAATAATCGTAGTGCAACAAATGACTTAATGTTTTGTTGATTTAAAAGTATAGGTATTGTGGAGCTACAAAATACATAACCTGTTACTAAATTATAGAAATTGTAGTGCTACAAAATACATAACCTGTTATTAATTTATAGAAATTGTGGTGCTACAAAAGATTTAACGTCTCATTAAAATATGGGAATTGTAGTGCTTCAAATTACTTTACATTAAATTAAAGCATAATAATCGTAGTGCGACAAATGCCTTAATGTTTTGATGATTTACAAAGTATGGGAATTGTAGTGCTACCAAAAATACGTAATTTCAACATGCCAGTTGTATGTTTCTTATACAGTCTTTTGTCTACAAGTCTCGATTACATGCGTCTCATCTGAAGGCCAAATGTCTGATGTTGTATACGTTCTAACATTATTATCGTTTGCAGTGTGATCACCATGTGACCCATTACTTTGCCTTCCTCCTCGTGTAACAGTTGTTTTTCTCTTCCAGTTAATGGCACCTTTAACGCCACGGTGCTGACGTCAGTGGTCATGTCCGACGCAGTAGCTTCTGGAACCACTGTGGAGATCCACTTAGCTCCTTCTGGTCTCAACAGTGGCAGGCGTCTCGATGTCTTTGTCAATAAAAAACTCAAACTGTTTGATCAACAAGGCTTGTTTAAACAGGATTTCGAAGGTATTGACTAAAGTAATAAACACGGTTGTCGGAGGTGCTTTTTGGACATAGGGTCACAGTACACTTACTTGTATCATTGTACTCGTAATACCATTGTCAACATCTACACTTCATATACACTTCGTATACCTTTGTATGTTCTGGATATCTCGAAGATAACGTTGAATCTTTTCATAAATTCAAGACCAATTACGATAATCTTCTGAAGACGATTAATTATTTTCCTTAGAAATTGTCTCTGGTCAAGAGATGTGTTGAGGATACTTGTACTCTCAGTGTGGACATTCACTAGTCTCAAATAAATTCTGCTAGCTTTACGTTCACGGAATACCCTTTTCAAATACATAACTTATGCCCTATGTTAGTCTGAAACACGGGAAGTGTAAGAACTACACATTTCAATGTGGTTTTCAGGGGGTGTCACTGTTGTCAACGTTGCTATTGACCCCGACGACAACCGTCACGACAACTTCACTGTCATCATGAAGTCGGGAGTTGGGGTGCAAGTAGCCGTAGCTAACAGACTCCTTCACGTCATCGTCAACATGCCGCCTAACTTCAAGGTGAGCTCAAAGCACACGGAGCACACAACACAAACAGGCACAGATACCCCAAAATACAAAGACACGCAGATCACCAATTCTCTGTAAAGTGGAGCCAATACCCAAACCCTTTTTAAAAAAAATAAAGTTCTGGATTTCAATGAAATTTTATTAGGATTTAACCGGCAGAAACTTGAGTAACAGAGTGAACAAAAATCAGGAATAGGGAACACCCCCTTGGGATAGTACAGTGTCATGAAGATACATGTACATTTTTCAATTTGTAATCTACGAGACCTCTATCACACACCAGAAAATACTGATTGAAAAAGCATCAATGCAATGAAATTAATGTTAATATTCCTTTCTCAAAACGTGCAACTATCTCGAACAAAATCAAAAGATGCTGGCTACTGAGAGCTTTTAAATTTTGAAAAAATGCTTTTCCAAAATGTAACGTAGAAAACTGCAACAGCAAAGAAAATCATGGTAACTGTTTCAAAAACCATAACTTTGATTGTGAATGAGGAAACGTCACAAGCTCTGTCTTATCATATTTCAATTACGAGTGTCAAAGAGACTTGAAATATCCACTTGCCTTTTGACAAACCATACAAAGATGTCAGCTTTTAAACATTTGTACCGTATATTACCAATCTTGGTAACGTATATTTCGCTTCTGAAATACTCAAATTAAAGTCAACTTTCTTCATATGAAAATGATTTAACATGAATACACTGCTTAACACAACTTTCGATACACTAAACAGTTGAAAAGGAGTTAAAATGTCACAAATGAAAATGTTACTTATATTACATGCGTTTTGCAAACATCTGCAAAATCATGTCCAGATCAACCTTATCAACCTGGACGGTGCGGCAAGAACGTCCACATGGTTTGGGGGCTCCTACTATACATAGTACTTCATGGAATGGTACCCATAAGTCATCAACACGGCGTGGCCACCGGAAGTTTCCCGATTTTACTTTCTCCATGAATGAAATCCGGCATTCCAAGTCATCCTGGTCTACTTCCTCTGTGCGCCCGATGTACCAGTGACCCTCTTACATAGCAGCTGCATATTCGCCTTCCTTGGGTTGTACAACGGGCTGGTCCTGAGGAAGAGGAGGATCCTCTGTTTCAACTCCAAGTGATGGTTCAACGTCATTGAGGTCTGGCTGTTGGGTCACATCAACGTTCAGATGATCTGCTTGAGAATCTCTTACATTGGAAGATGAAATCCAGTCTGGGTGGTATTCTCCTTTGAGACACAGATTGCAGTAGCAGGAAGTTGCTCGGTTACGGATAACACCACGTGATAGTGAAGCCACAACATGTACCTTCATCGTACCTTTCAGAGGGATGACATTTTTATTGAGCTCTTGAAGCTCCTCGCGCAAAGGGGTGATATCACTGGCTTTCACCAGAATATACTTTGAGGTCGTATGATATTGAACCCCCCATGCAAAGTACTCCATAGCATCCAGAATTGTGACTTTCCTTTGACGAACAGCAAGATCAGTCATTCTTTTGGATGTACCGCCAATTCCATCGCAAGGCCCCTTTCCGTGGCCTGATTCAAAATAATCCCACGAGACTGGCATTCCAAACAGGCTATGATGGTCAGAAACAAGGTAGAATATGGTTTTGTTTCTGTATTGTGAAGAAGGATTATCTGTCCAGTAGTGAATGCAGTTCACCTCTCCAATGTCTCCTTGCTGAGAAAGTCACATTGGCACTGCTCGTCTCAAGTGCTTCCACTCATGCAAATGGCCGACAACGTGACTTTACCAAAAGGAGAAATTCTGCGTTGAAAAACAAACCACTAAAAAGAAATATATCTTTTAAATAGCCAAGAAATAGGTCTTAGGTGCTGAATTGGTCTCGTATATTACATCACAGAGATTACATTTACGTGTACTAAACACCCCAGACTCTCTCTGTGTGGTATCTGTCACCTGTTACTGTCATTTACTTCACTCATTCACTGCATTTGCAATGGTACTATATGCTATGTTGAGTATTTAATGTTGGATATTGGTGTATGAAGGTCACGTAGATTACATCCTTAAAAAACGTTAAGACTTGAATAACAGTCATCATTTTTTCGGAAAGGAAACTTGATTAACCGGTTCTTTGGCTCTTAGTACTTATTCCTAATTACTTCTAGAGTTATTGTATTTCAGTGGCACATTTCTATCAAAATATTTGCATGGTTTAGGTATTGTTTATTGAACAGTAACGCAGATTACGCATTTATTGGAGACATTGGAAAAAATGTAAGTGTGTTCATAAATTGGTATCTAAGCCTAAACTTTAAGTTTTTGTTAAGAGAACAACATCACTGGGCGGTCATAAATGTTATATTCAAAGGTTATCCTGGATATTTTACTGTGGGTTACAATGTAAAGACAGGTACCCTGTTTTGCGACAACAGATTTGTTGGAAAATAGGCGCACATCAACATCTGTCGATAATCAGAGAAAAATGAGGGAGTGTCAATACACTGTGTTTTTAATGTCTTTTGGTTAATATTAAGACGTCGAGATAGTTTTATAAACCAATCTGAACTCATAAGGCTGTGGTTTAAGTGCGACAGTGCTATTGGCAAATGGCTCCACTTTACAGAGAATAAGTGAGATACACACAGACACATGCACACACAGAGACACAAAGACACCCCCCAAAATACACACAGAGATATACACAGACACACAGAGACACACAGAGACACACAGAGAGAGAGAGAGAGAGAGAGAGAGAGAGAGAGAGAGAGAGAGAGAGAGAGAGAGAGAGAGAGAGAGAGAGAGAGAGAGAGAGAGAGAGAGAGAGAGAGAGAGAGAGAGAATGACCCAAAATACACTTACACAGATGCACAAGTACACACACAAACACAGAGATATACACAGACACACAAAGACGCACACAGACACACCCAGACACACCAAAATACACTTACACACAGTGTTTTGGCAAATTGGCAAATGGCTCCACTTTACAGAGAATAAGTGAGATACACACAGACACATGCACACACAGAGACACAAAGACACCCCCCAAAATACACACAGAGATATACACAGACACACAGAGACACACAGAGACACAGAGAGAGAGAGAAAGAGAGAGAGAGAGAGAGAGAGAGAGAGAGAGAGAGAGAGAGAGAGAGAGAGAGAGAGAGAGGATGACCCAAAATACACTTACACAGATGCACAAGTACACACACAAACATAGAGATATACACAGACACACAAAGACGCACACAGACACACCCAGACACACCAAAATACACTTACACACAGTGTTTTGGATTTTTACCTCACAAAAATGTACATGAAATATTACTTAAACCTAACATTTAGGGGCAGGAGATAAATCATTTCGGAGACGGACATATTAAAATATACTAATGTGCTAAAATACTGCATGCACTAAAGATGCCCCCCTTTCAATAGAACCTTGCATTGTTGGACTACACAATAGAAAATATCTACACGTGACGACATATAACACGACTTCCGTGCATCCTTGAAATGTTGATCACTGGGTTGTCTGGTCCAGACTCGATTATTTACAGACCACCGCCATATAGCTGGAATATTGCTGAGTGGCGTAAAACTAAACAACAAACAAATAAACCAATCTTAAACTCCTAACAAGTCCTGCCTACGTCCTATCATGTCTAGTGAGTAGTGTCCTTGACCAGATTTCCATTGACAAATACCCGGATGGAAAGTTTGGTACAACAGTTACCTATTGTCAGATTGTGATTATAAAATTTTGCATGTAATCACAGGGTTATAAGCTACTCAAGAGGCATTAAAGGCCACCCGATTAGTTCATATTTGAATATATGACAGCGGGGATATTGATATAACCTCTATGTGTGTTATCGCCACTATAACTATGTGGTCACCCTAAAGGTATGCGTGACCCTGTTTATGGATTTGTACATCTATGCTTAGAACAAGACCCAAGCGCTAATGGGGACGTGGAACGGCGTCGTCGGTGACGACTTCACCCTAAGAAATGGACAAAGTATCGACATTTCATCATTACCACAGACTGTATACCAACAGTTTGCCAAGACCTGTGCGTATAGTTTTGTGTTACTTCCTATATAGAGATCCATACAGAAAATGTGGGGTATCGAACACAGGGTGTCTGCGTGACGAGCGAAATCGTTAACCACTCGGCTAACCACCTCTGCGATTTGTAGCTAAATGAACACGCATTAGACGTGGTAATATATGAATAATTTTCGCATTGCATATGCAATAGCATCATTTAGCAATTATTGTTTTGTCGAAACAAATAATTGTTCAAGAAAACACCTTGTTGTGGATGCGGGTATGGGCGTGTGTGTGTACGTATGTGTGTGTGTGTGTGTGTATGTGTGTGTGTGTGTGTGTGTGTGTGTGTGTGTGTGTGTGTGTGTGTGTGCGTGCGTGCGTGCGTGCGTGTGTGTGGGCCTGTGCGATTGCGGGTACGAAAGGTGTGCATGCCGGGTTTGTTACATATCCCCGGACCCACCAACTACATGCATAGCACTATATGCATTACTATATTTCGTCAAACTGTTTCAGGGAAATCACCAAGCATCGAATCCATGTTTCAACATCCCACCGAAGCCGATGACGCTTTTGTTCCCGTGTATAACCAGCCCCAGATACCCAGTAGATCAAGCTTTTCACGTGCAGACCTTGACCACACGTGTGGCGACAATGTGGCGTGCCGCTTTGACTACGCCGTCACCGGAAATAGAGACATTGCAAATGCATCCAAGATGGCATCGAGATGGTTCTCCGAGTTACAGAGCTTTCAGAAACCGGGTAGGTTGCCGTGAGCTTAATGATGCATATAGGTAGGTACACGTGAATAACAACACGGGTTGGTACAAATACAGAAACTAACCCGAGAGATAGTCAGATCACGCCACTCTCCTACCCAGAGTTCCATGCGGCAAGCCAGCATAGTACCTCTGCCACAGGCCAGAAAAATGTGACGATTCGTCACATCTTGCAATGTCCATTCAATATAATGTACAGATTTATTTTACTCTTTTATTTTTGACGAGTCTACACATCTAACTAAACATCTTTAATAGAATGGTTTAGTTTCACTGAGAAAATATCCAAAAACATGCAACACTATTTCGATTTGCGTAGCGATCCTTTGTTTACATAGGTTGTACGGCTCCACGTGCTGTCATCGAAGCTGATGGAAAGCAAACGATGCCAGTTTGATATCTAAATATGTACTGTCATAGACCTTACTGTCGCAGTTGTGGAAGAATATATATGTAACAATGTAAAACATTATGAAGTGAGCGCCGAAAAGCTTTCGTGAGTCCAGTCTCTTCTTATTATGAATATGCGCGTTTGATTATACACAAGAGAAAAGTCCGGTCACGTGATATGCAAATTAGCCTGTGGCAGTGATGTTACGTTAAGTCATCGCTCTGCCGGAGTGTGAGATCACGCGTCACCAACCTCTTATACCTGATCACATGATCTATATAGACTTCATCAACTGGACACAAACATGACGTCTGTGTTTGGCAATGTACAGCTCCCTGATAAGTACAAAAAAGATCCCAGCTGAAACGGTTCCAAAAGATGGAGATTGAGCCCTTCCGAAATATATTTCGGTAGGTACGGTAAAACGAGTGACTATCCTAATTTAGGACCTGAATCCTGAGGCCGCAGACTGAAGTTCTGTCAAATATCGAAGATTTCCGATGCGAGTATCCATTCCGAAAAAAATATGAGTACACTGGCCGTCACTGGGATTCAATTCTTTATTGTTTATACCTGCCATGATAACCTATAACAGCGATAAACTCTTAATAGTATGAATATCATGAGACAATATCATCAGCATGTGTTTCTCAGAGCGTCATATGGTATTTGATCAAGGTCACAGTGAGTGAGTGAGTGAGTATGGTTTTACGCCGCTTTTAGCAATATTCCAGCACTATCACGGCTGGGGATACCAGAAACGGGATTCACACATTGTACCCATTTGGGGAATCGAACCCGGGTCTTCAGCGTGACGAGCGGTCTCTTTAACCATTGAACTAACCCACCGCTTCTACTACATTCAAAGCCTTTCAGAATGTTTTATTGAGACTTTGAAGGACATCTCAAAATGTGACGTATCAATGACCAAAGCGATGTCAGATGCAATCCCGTTGACGTTGACTACGTTTGATTTAATTTGATTTTGGTATAGTCGTGTGCAACGTAAGGGTCCGGAAACCTAAAGTATGTTTGCGAATACATGGTGTCAGATCTATGTGACAGTAGTTCATGAACGAATGACCATGAATTAGTTGGAATTACATTATTTATTTCGATTTGGATTTCATATGACGATGGACAGTTTGTCTTTTTGAGTCAATTACGGTGTGAAGTTGTCATCGGGAATTTTTCAGAAGGAAAATGTATAATGATATCAAGGATACAAAGAAATGACATGTCCTGTATCTTTTTTATGGTTAATATTCCGTCTGTTTTTATTTTCAGCCTTGTCTTGTGGCCTGCTCGATGTTGCATACGCCTCCAAAGACAACTATAACTACTCAGTGGGAAACACCGTCACTGTCACAGGCTGCCGTAACGGCGGCGACCTCAGCGGCGACACAACCTACGTTTGCTCCGCCGACTTCGGTGACCCCAAATGGACGCCCTCGGTGTCTGCACAATGTAGTGGTGAGTGGCAATTACATGGATGTAATTTGATCTTATAATTTTGTGGTGCACATAGTCTTCGAATAAACAGTAAAATCCAAATAATGAACAGAGACATTGATTTGGTTAAGTTGAGTGAGTGAGTGAGTATGTTTTTACGCCGTTTTTAGCAATATTCCAGCAATATCACGGCGGGGGACACCAGAAATGGGCTTCACATATTGTACCCATGTTGGGAATCGAACCCGGGTCTTCGGCCTGACCAGCGAACGCTTTAGTCACTAGAGTAGCCCACCACCCCTTGGTTTAGATGAATGAGCGAGTGAGTTTATCATTATTTTGACAATTATTGGTGTTTTATATGATAATTTAGCTATTGAGTTGTAGCATTACTGTTTTCTCTCCTTCATGCGAAGTGATTGCAGTCTCACTGTCCCTTGGTGCTCATGCCTTCAGCATGTTTATAGAAGTGCTTAAAGGGATTTCGTCTCATACAGCGTTTTAGGCACTTGATAAAAGGAAACGTTAACCTGATAAAGGAAAACCCTCACTCTTTAATAGAACAGTTATTCACAGCATTTCCAATTTTTAATGTCCACTGTTGGTATGGAAGCGTATCAGTTCAAAATATATCTAAAATACTTAAAAGCAAAACAGCAGGTCGCCATATTAACACATTGTCTATATTTATGAGCAGAAAATTGTGAGAAAGGCTCTTAAGATACTAAATGATACCAGTCATATACGTTATTGAAAATGTCAGTGTCTACTATCTGACCTCCAGCTGCACAACTTGAAATCAAACGGTGAAATCATTCATACCAGTCAAGGTTAGGCTAAAATCTGTTTTAATACTTTTTGACAGTTCGTTGCATACAAATGTTATACAGCCATTATCCCATTCCTTAAGGTTTACCATAGACTTTATGATATAGAACGTAACACTTTACATTTCAATACCAGTCCTTGTCACTGTCGAAATGTCCATTTTCAACATGTTTTATTTGTTGGTACATCCGTAAGTGTGTTATTTTCGAATTCCTTATATTTTTAAATTCATATATTCTCTGTTTGCATAGTTTCGTAGTGCAATATCTGTGCAATATGGATTTATCTTATGAAGTAAAGAGATACTCCCTTCCTCGTTTTATCCCCTTTAACTCATGCATGCTTAATCGATCAGAGGAGGCATAATTCCCGAACTTAAGTGAGTGAGTGAGTTGTGTTTTACGCCGCTTTTAGCAATATTCCAGCAATATCACGGCGGGGGACACCAGACATGGGCTTCACACATTGTACCCATGTTGGGAATCGAACCTGGCTCTTCGGCGTGAGGAGCGAACGCTTTAACCATTAGGCTACCCCACCGCCCCTTCCCGAACTTAATTACTGGTAAATGTCAAATAACTCATGCTCAGTAAAACAACTAGTAACAGCCCCCACCACAAAACAACAACAACAAACTAACAAAACAAAACACAAAACAAAACAAAACAAAACCAAAACAATACAAAAAAGAAACAACAATATGAAGTATGTATGGATGAGTTACGTTTTTCAGATTTCTTTAAACCTACTGCAGTGGCTTGGTTTGGTAATTTTGCTCTTGGTTTTGTAGTATTGAAGTAAGGTTTTGAAGTATAGTGCCTTTTTAAATCCATATGACAGTCTTTCATGTTTAACCGGTATTGTCACATTGGGAACTGTTTTCATTCAGGTGCCTCAGACAAAGCCAGTATCGGACCAATAATCGGTATTGTTGTCGGTGTTGTTATTGCCGTTGCTGCCGTTGTCATCATTGTTGTTGTTATCGTAAAACGTCGAAAGAACTCGGATCGTAAGGAAAGCAAAAAGTAAGTATGAATTTCATTAACATAAAATATTGAGATGAACAAAAGATTACATTTATTAGATGCGCACATAGGTGTTAAAGAAAGGAGTCTAAACTGACAATGGGATCCACCATTTGATATTGTGAGGTGGGAGAGGGATGAGGTGGGATGTTGGGTGTGGTGAATTTCATCGTTGTCCATAATACATGCTTGGGGGTGTTGCAAAGAAAGCAATTGTCTCCGATAAAAACTCCTTTATATGAGGTGTTTCCCAAGATTAGATTCATGGTTTTTATTCCAACCCAGAATATCGAATAGTAGGTCTACATGCATCTGTGATCTTAGTTAAAAAAGATCGGGTTGTCCTTGTTATTCTTCTAGGTTTGTGTGCACCACACCCCAACATAAAGATGACCCACCTTGACACATCTGAAATATTGTTAACCCTAACTTTCAAACAAACTTGAAAGAAAGTTTAGTGAGTGAGTGAGTGAGTGAGTATGGTTTTACGCCGGTTTTAGCAATATTTCAGCAATATCACGGCGGGGGACACCAGAAATGGGCTTCACACATTGTACCCATGTGGGGAATCGAACCCGGGTCTTTGGCGTGACTAGCGGACGTTTTAACCACTAGGCTACCCCACTGCCCGAAAAAAGTTAAAGTGATTTGTGTGTATGTGACTGCACAGTTAAATGTATTCAGCATATATGAATGTAACTTAATGGGACCATATGGACAGACAGACAGACAAATATATTTCGTAGAGTGGCCATGAGGCCAAAAGTTGAATATCTGTATCTTTTTTCATTATTTTCTTTGGAGCGCTGGCATGGAAAATGCATTGGTATAAGCATAATAAAACGTTATGTAGTTTGTTTACAAATACAGCAAGGCGTAAAATAACATTTGCATTTTGGTTATTAAGTAACTTCACAAACTTCTGTATGTTGGGGTTTATATGATAATGTTTGGGTATATATCTGCTGCGTAAATCTGAATAAGGACCAGATACAGCATTTACGTTGCTAATAGGTGAAGTATTATTAATGTTAGTATGTTTTGTGTTCACATGTTTGTGGCTTGACCTTGTGTATGTCCTTGGTGTTAGTGTTCACATGTCTGCATGCATCTTCCTTTGTACATCCCACACCCATATGTTCATGCTGACAAACAAAAGAGAGTTATCTGCCCTTGGCATTGCCCCTTTTTATCATGCTGTATCGATATATTAATCCAAATATACTGCTATAAGCTAACTGATGCTCATTTTAGATTACTATTGCTACCTCTGTTACCTCTATCAATGCTGTCTGTATTACATTAAGTTTAACAACTAAAACTGTCGTATCTCTATTGCATTATCATGTGACAAAAGCATTATGTGTTTCACACGTCCAAAAACCACACCACATATTTGCTACTTTAAAACCCTTTAGAAGTAAAGCACCATTTCCCCTTGACCCAGGGTAGATAACTCTCAAACAGAGATCACATGGAGTAAGACAAGGTGCATATGCTGGCTTTCAGTACAGTTGCGTGACGTTTCAGAGAAGAACCGGAGGTTGAAGAAGGCCAAAAAGACGCTATGATGAGTGACCTGAAGAAGCGGGAGTCGAATGGTTCCGACAAGAACGAATAACATACATGGGGAGCTCCGAGTGTGACGAACAAAGAAGCAGGAGTGGTTATTGCTTGAAAACATTCAAGTATGTTCTGAAGACAAAAGGACACACACTTATCCCCACGCCCACAACAGTTTTCATACATAGTGTAACAGGGACATAAGTGATGGGTGAAAAAAGACGGTCAGGTTTTTGTGTAGTTTTCATATATTTAGATTTCATGTCTGAAAGGAGGATCATACTTTCAGATATATGTCCATTCTGGTACTAATGCAACGTCCATGGCAACTAGATGTGGCTGTATGTATTTAACCTGAAGAAAGCAAAAGTCTTTAAGAATATTTCATCTAATTTCTCCTTAGGATTTGTGGTTAGGTTATGCCAATCTTTCAGGAACATATGAATGCACGGGGACGTAACTACTGGTAGCGTGGGTCACCGAATGTTTTGGGCATCTTAACGCTGAATTACCCATGACCAGGTTTTCATAATTATATTCCAATTAGAGATGATAGAAAAGAAATTGCATTTTCCGCTCGAAATATTTTGAGCCCTTATAAATTTAGTAAACTTTACTAAATAGTTTATGTTTATCATTCGAAATAGTAACATGTTTGGTATGGTAAGTACTTCATGTGTATCCGATAACATGTGTATGACGTATCAGATTAAAACAACAATGCATTTCTTACCTAGCCAAGACATAAAACAATGTTTCTTTCCTGCCTAGTTTCTTACATGCTGAACTCGGAGTCTATCAAATATATATTAATACATCATCGCAGTGGCTCTGTGACAACTTCCCAGCACTAATGCCAGTGCCTTCACGTTACAAATGGTCATGTGTACAAGTACATGTTACGTGTGGATTATGCGCGATGTGAGAGGGGATGAACGTTCACTGTGTGTCAAGTAGCTTATAGGATTTAATTGTAATTCTTTGCCGTTGAAGTGGAAAATATATTAGGATTGCCATAGCGTTGAAGAAGGATCACACGTGCAATGTGTTGAGAGGAGAGACTGTAAATTGCTTGCATAATAGAAGTACTGCTTGTAGATAGATAAGGGAACGTTCATAATTTATGGCTAGGGGAAGGGGGGGCTGATGATGATGATTTTTATAGAGAAGCATGTACAATGTAAATGACCCACCTTAAAGTACACGTACAAAATAAGTGATCCCCCTTCCCATAATTTCTAAGCATAATTTTAAACATAATTTTATATACAAAATTGCTGACCACCCTAGTGATGTGTACACAATTGATGACCCCCTAGCTCCCCAGAACAAAATGGGTGCCCCCTAAGTCATCATCATCACCCCCACCCCCACCTTCCATAGCCATAAATTATGAACGGTCCCCAAATACATGTCCTTGCAATCACGGTATTGTAAACACGGAGCTGGACATGACAGTTTGCATTGTATTAATATGTACACGATACATCCACGTTTTTCAAATGATTATTGTAGTTAGTACAGGTCCTCTATACATATTGCTTTTTAAATCTATGGATAACATATTGTATGAAACGTTTTTCCTGTAAATGACTTTACATGAACGAGAATTTAAATATCTTTGATAAATTTAGTTGTATTCATTTTATCATACATGTAGCTTTAGAATGGAACGTGTTCTTAGTAATTTCAGCAATGTCCTTGGAGTTTGTTTGCAAGGCGTGGAGTTCGCGATTCTATTTGTATCACCATGGTTACACGTCACAACTCTTTTTGGCCTACTTTGAGCTCAAGTTTATATAACATATCAGATTCATTATCATTTACTCTGTCAGTTTCATATCATATTTGTACTCTCCATATGTCATGTAACATCACATTTCCCATGTAATATATGATACCTTTATATACCTTTTTTACAAAAAAAGTGTGTACGTTTGCACATCAGATTTAGACATAGAGTAGGCTTTGTGTAATTCGACACTGGTCTGGATTGGGGAAATGTCGGATAAAACAGATGTCACATTAGAGAGAGTCTTAACCCTCGTGTGGCAGCAAGCATGACATGAACGTTTTTATATGATAATGTTAGGGACTGTGCCTGGACCAAAACGTAGATAGTCAACTGAGCTTTTTTAATCTTTATGCAGTTTTTACAATAAAAAAAAAGTGAAATCTAGCATCATTTGTCCGATTCTTACGAATACTCATTCAAGAATCTAGCATATTGTAAACATTATAAACATACTTTTGGTTTTTCTGAATATTAAATGTCAGCGCTGGAGAAGAATCAGATTATCCGACAAAGTAGATTCCATTGGTCGTAAAAGGCAAAATGGATGTGAAAGGGATATGAATGGATCAGTGATGACACCAGGTATTTGCAAAAAAACCCGGTGAACATGTCCTAGGGATTAGCATAGTCAGGTAGATGTCTTGCTTTGAAATATTCAAAAGGGAAATACAATGTATAGCATGTATCAACAAGGAGTTTATCATGTTTAGTACCATGTTTCCAGTCTGTGTGAGTTTTATTTGGCAAACACAGGAGCTTATACCTAGGTATAATTTAAATCATTTGTGTATGGTGATTACATCAAGTTTTGCTATCAATGAATGTTAGATTAAAAAACGATTATATTTACATTTGGGTTTGTTTGTCTTTTAGAAGAAGTCTTTGGAATGACACCCTGTGGGTATAGATATGTGTAATATAATAGACAATTTAGATAATATCTCAGCATAATCAGTAAAAAACCTGAGTAAGTGAAAACACTTGGATCTGAAACGTCAAAAGTATTCTTTTGATCCGATAATTGGGATTTCCAACGCTGGAGCTGGTCTCAATATGACCCGTGCGTGAGTGAGTATGGTTTTACGCCGCTTTTAGCAATATTCCAGCCATATCACGGCGGGGGACACCAGAAATGGGCTTCACACATAGTACCCATGTAGGGAATCGAACCTGGGTATTCGGCGTGACGAACGAACGCTTTAACCACTAGGCTACCCAACGGCCACTGACCCGGAATCCGTGTGTCGTGTCTTAATACATTTTTTGGTTCATGGATCAATCAACTTTTATGTTTCTGGGAACAAAGTGCTGCACATCTATCCTGCGGGTATTTCAATCAGTACGTGAGTGAGTATGGCTTTACGCCGCTTTAAGCAACATTCAAGCAACATCATGGCGGGGGACACCAGAAATGGGCTTCACATACTGTACCCATGTTGGGAATCGAACCCAGGTCTTCGACGTGATGAAAGAACGCTTTAACCACTATACTACCCTACCGCCCCTCAATCAGTAAGACAAAATATGCTGCCAAGTTACAGCCATCTGCTTATAAACAACGAGTATGAGTCTATTTTAAAGCATATTTAGTAAACTTTACTAACTACTAGTAGTTTATATTTATCATTCGAAATAGTAACACGTTTGGTATGGTAAGTACTAGTACGTCAGGTGTATCCGATAACATGTGTATGACGTATCAGATTAAAAACAACAATGCATTTCTTACCTAGCCAAGACATAAAAGAATGTTCTTTCCAGCCTAATTTCTTAACATGCTGAACTCGGAGTCTATCAAAAATATATTGATACATCATCGCAGTGGCTCTGTGACCACTTCCCAGCACTAATGCCAGAGCCTTCACTTTACAAATGTGTACAAGACTTCATGTTACGTGTGGATTATGCGCGATGTGAGAGGGGATGAACGTTCACTGTGTGTCAAGTAGCTTATAGGATTTAATTGTAATGCTTTGCCGTCGAAGTGGAAAATATATTAGGATTGCCATAGCGTTGAAGAATGATCACACGTGCAATGTGTTGAGAGGAGAGACAGTAAATTGCTTGCATAATAGAAGTACTGCTTGTAGATAGATAAGGGACCGTTCATAATTTATGGCTAGGGGGGAGGGGGGCTGATGATGATGATTTTTATGGAGAAGCATGTACAATGTGAATGACCCCCCCTAAAGTACATGTACAAAATAAGTGACCCCCCTTCCCATAATTTCTAAGCATAATTTTAAACATAATTTTATATACAAAATTGCTGACCCCTAGTGATGTGTACACAACTGATGACCCCCTTAGCTCCCAGAACAAAATGGGTGCCCCCCTGTAAGTCATCATCATCACCCCACCCCCCACCCTCCATACCCATAAATTATGAACGGTCCCCAACTACATGTCCTTGCAATCACGGTATTGTAAACACGGAGCTAGACATGACAGTTTGCATTGTTTTAATATGTGCACGATACATCCACGTTTTTTAAATGATTATTGTAGTTAGTGCAGGTTCTCTTTACATATTGCTTTTTAAATCTATGGATTACATATTGTATGAAACGTTTTTCCTGTAAATGACTTTACATGAACAAGAATTTAAATATCTTTGATAAATTTAGTTGTATTCATTTTATAATACATGTAGCTTTAGAATGGAACGTGTTCTTAGTAATTTCAGCAATGTCCTTGGAGTTTGTTTGCAAGGCGTGGAGTTCCGATTCTATTTGTATCACCATGGTTACACGTCACAACTCTTTTTGGCCTACTTTGATCTCAAGTTTATATAACATATCAGATTCATTATCATTTACTCTGTCAGTTTCATATCATATTTGTACTCTCCATATGTCATGTAACATCACATTTCCCATGTAATATATGATACCTGTATATACCTTTTTTACAAAAAAAGTATGTACGTTTGCACATCAGATTTAGACATAGAGTAGGCTTTGTGTAATTCGACACTGCTCTGGATTGGGAAAATATCGGATTAAACAGATGTCACATTAGAGAGAGTCTTAACCCTCGTGTGGCAACAAGCATGACATGAACGTTTTTATATGATAATGTTAGGGTCTGTGCCTGGACCAAAACGTAGATAGTCAACTGAACTTTTTAAATCTTTATGCAGTTTTTACAATAAAAAAAAAGAAGTGAAATCTAGCATCATTTGTCCGATTCTTACGAATACTCATTCAAGAATCTAGCATAATGTAAACATTATAAACATACTTTTTGTTTTTCTGAATATTAAATGTCAGCGCTGGAGAAGAATCAGATTATCCGACAAAGTAGGTTCCATTGGTCGTAAAAGGCAAAATGGATGTGAAAGGGATATGAATGGATCAGTGATGACACCGGGTATTTGCAAAACAAACCGGTGAACATGTCCTAGTGATTAGCATAGTCAGGTAGATGTCTTGCTTTGAAATATTCAAAAGGGAAATACAATGTATAGCATGTATCAACAAGGAGTTTATCATGTTTAGTACCATGTTTCCAGGCTGTGTGAGTTTTATTTGGCAAACACAGGAGCTTATACGTAGGTATAATTTAAATCATTTGTGTATGGTGATTAAATGAAGTTTTGCTATCAATGAATGTTAGATTAAAAAACGTTTATATTTACATTTGGGTTTGTTTGTCTTTTAGAAGAAGTCTTTGGAATGACACCCTGTGGGTATAGATATGTGTAACATAATAGACAATTTAGATAATATCTCAGCATAATCAGTAAAAAACCTTAGTAAGTGAAAACACTTGGATCTAAAACGTAAAAAGTATTCTTTTGATCCGATAATTGGGATTTCCAACGCTGGAGCTGGTCTCAATATGACCCGTGCGTGAGTGAGTATGGTTTTACGCCGCTTTTAGCAATATTCCAGCAATATCACGGCGGGGGACACCAGAAATGGGCTTCACACATTGTACCCATGTAGGGGAATCGAACCTCACATGGGTGTTCCCATTTCTGGCGTGACGAACGAATGCTTTAAATATTGCACTAAAAACTAAACTCAGTCCCAGTCGGCAGTCATTGACCCGTGAAGGAATCCGTGTGTCGTGTCTTAATACATTTTTGTTCATCGATCAATCAACTTTTATGTTTCTGGGAACAAAGTGCTGCGCATCTATCCTGCGGGTATTTCAATCAGTAAGTGAGTGAGTATGGCTTTACGCCGCTTTTAGCAACATTCCAGCAACATCGTGGCGGGGGACACTAGAAATCGGCTTCACATACTGTACCCATGCGGGGAATCGAACCCAGGTCTTCGACGTGATGAAAGAACGCTTTAACCACTATACTACCCTACCGCCCTTCAATCAGTAAGACAAAATATGCTGCCCAGTTACAGCCATCTGCTTATAAACAACGAGTATGAGTCTATTTTAAACGCAGGAATATAGGTAAATAATTCATTTTATTGAGATTTCAAGATCGATTTGGATACAAAGTTCCCGAACTCCTTTGTAAACTAACTTCAAATTGCTGAAAAGGAAAGTAAAAATCCAACACAACATACAATTCTGACAGACAGACACTTTATTCAGTAATAGGCGACTGGCCCAAAATACATTCATAAATGTGATAAGAAGTTACATGCGTTTTACCAGGGAGACTATATAACGTTGTAGATTGTCCCTGGTTTTACATAAAAACATCAGACCACCTCCGTGGTGTAGTGGTTAGAGCGTCCGCCCGGAGAGCGGAAGGTCGCGGGTTCGATCCCCGACCGCGTCATACCAAAATACGTTAAAATATGGTACTGGTTGGTCCCTGTCTGGCGCTCGGCATTAATGGGTAAAACAAGGACTGGTCGGCTCGGAGTCAGTATAATGTGTCTGAGTGGGGTATTCATGCTTCACTGCGGCATGGTATCTCAGTGGGCTAGCACTATAAAACCAGCTTCAGTCAGGGCTAGTACAAGCAGACGCACATACACATACACACGCATGCACGTCGTCATATGAGCGAAATATTCTCAAGCACGACGTTAAACCCAATTTCACCTCACCTCACCTCATAAATACATCAGAATCTCTTATTTTCCCAACATTATATAAAATACAATTCCGGTGGTATATAAGCGGCAACTCGTTTCAATGGTCATGTGAGTCCATTATGCGATTCCGACTATCATGAACATGTGTTTATGTTTGCAAAGACAAGTCAGGTGATTTACCAAAATATGAGGGGAACACAGCGATAGGGAACGACGTCGATCAGAATTTCGACCGCCGATGCGTCAAAGTTGGAAAAGTCCTCGACATTTCTTGAGTAAAACGTTTTGAAGTCTTATTAAAGAAATTTAATCAAAGAAACAGAAAAAAGATATTCAGTATATTTTAAAAGCCATATACATCCAACACTGAAGTTATCAATATGACCATATCTTTCTATCAGAGACTACAACATTTGATTTAATCTACAATTCTGTTGTTTGTAGTTACGTATAAGTTTGATATACGAGTACATTTAACGATGGAATTAGCTTGAAATTACGAGATCCTTCGTGTGATAGAAAGAACCAGAGATCGCCTTAACAACGCGTAGACAAGAAGAAGTAAATTCCTTGTAATGAGTCCATCCTGGAACGTGCATCTCTGAGCAGAAATAATACCATTGATGGATTATATAAATGTCTGATTTCTATCAGTTAACTAATCTACCATGAATGGTAATTTGAGTGTATTTGAAAGAAACACATGTTACGCTGAATGGTGAAATAGATAGCACTGATGGTAATAAGATGGTTACAGAGCAGACATCGATATCAATCGAACTGGATATCAGAAGAACACATTGGACTGTTTGGGTACATTAGCCTTTGTTGAAGCATAATTGCTGTTTGATTATCTTGCTGTGGACACCTGCTCTCATCGTTGAATGGCTGGGCGTATTGATAAAGAAGCCGTATATAAGACGTGATTAGGGCGTTTGACAAGCCCCTGAGTTGGAAGGTACTTCTTGAAGAAACGTAAGTAATGTTAATATTTTGTCATATACTCCTGGAACAGTGTCATACAGAATACTGTTAATATGAAGTATCAGAAGAAGCATTTGAAAGGATAGACAGTGAACGTTTACAAAATATGTGAATTTAAACTGTGAACGAAAATGAATATTTTCAATTCCCAATTATCTGAAGAAAGAGATAAATAATTTCATTGGTAATCAAAGTGGAAGGCATTAGTGATGACACAAGACAGTTAGTCACTTTTCAAAATCGAATTCAGTTTCTGTGGTGAAATAGAGTATTTCAGTGTTTGAACAAAAGTTAATGTTTCGTTCGAAAATACACGATGCGATTTATGAAATGTCTCTTTTTCATGTAAAGATATAGAATGTAGTGCCCAATTAGTAAGAAAATTGCATCTGTGAAAAGTTGGTTGGTTGTTTTTTAATGCCGCACTCAGCAATATTCCAGCTATATGGCGGCGGTATGTAAATAATCGAGTCTGGGCCAGACAATCCAGTGATCAACAGCATGATCATCGATCTACGCTATATGCCGCGACTCATAAATCATCAACGTGGGCATGCCATAGGTATGCGTATTGCTGGACAACTTTCAACTTGTAATAACTCGGGTTTGACCCATCATGTACTAACACGTGTATTCATACAGCGTTTCCAAAACCCCTGAATCCAATTCGTTTGTGGTTTTGTAAATAACAGGAAAACAATAATCAATGCATTGAAAAAGGAACGCACTCCAACTCATTTCTATGTAACATATGCATTCCTCTCATAATTACAACGTCTAAACTATGTCTAGACATGAAACTAGAAAGCCTAAATAATTTATGATATATTATAAATGGCATCTTCTTCACGACTCTCGATCCTATCTGCTTGCCACAAAGATCAACATACGTTTTAAAATCTTTATAGTTTCAAGTTATTGAGTAGACATTTTTTTCAGTTCCAAGATGCAGCTATCTGGGAAGATAGCTGAAAATGTCGGTATATCTGGAGTGAAACAGATATTTGAAAGAGACAGTGGACTAATAAGAAGGTAATTCCTGGTTTAGTTCACAGTCGATTTCTCATTTAGTGAAGAGATAGATCGTGAAAACCTTTCCATAACCCTAAGATAGTTCTGCTTAAACTAAACCATATATAAATGTCGGTTTAGTGTTTGAAGCCGCAGGCCTTTACAACTGTTCTAAAACCGACAGACACTCGTAACGTGCTTACAAAATATGTACAAGCTTACCAAATCGGGGCCAGTATGGGATTAAATACTGTTACATTCTGGGACATTTAGATCCGTTGTCACTACAGGTGCCTTCACGGAAAACATTTATACAACGCTGTCATGACAAGACGGATAAAGTAATGTAATCATACTACAAAGTCGAGTGATCTTTAATTTCTTTTGAATAGAACTAACATATATGATACTCTGACATGTATGGTATTGTTATCTAACAATTATGTTACTGACTCTTGTAACCGATCCAATTTAGGATCATCTGGGGTTTGTCGCTGCTGTCTGTGACGGTCTGCTTGGCGTTGCAACTCTACGACAACATCCATCTGTATTTGTTGTATCCGACTACAGTCAGCAGAAGGATTATCTCCCCTGACAGCATGGCATTTCCGGCCGTGACCTTGTGCAACATCAACCCACTGAGGTACGTGGATCGTTAGTGGGGAGATTATTTTCACGTTTAAAGCGATATTGCACGAAATGACACAAGAGTGGACGCCGAGGTTTCATTGTTGAAAGTATATCAAGATCGGTCGAATTGTGAGACGAATGTGCAGTCGCTAAATTAGAAGCAATGTTAATATTTGTGGACCAATCAATCAATAATACTCATCCGTTACCATCTGACAGAGGAAGACAGTTGCAGGAATCTAACCGTATACATGAATGTGCAGTGCCAATTCTTCCGAGTGTGTTCCAAACCAAACACAACGTTGAAACCAGGAAAACGTAATGAACAACTCAAGGCCTCATCTAATCCTGAAAGACAGTTCAGTTTCTTATCTCAAGGGGTGCTCAAGATATAACCAGGCAACCAGGTTCTTTAATATCCCAAGCGTTTTACATTTATGCGTATTTGCGTATTTGATGTTCGTTCATTTCCACTTAAAAGAAAGTCTTTATAAGATAAAATTCAGCATTGTTTGTTTTGCTGGCAATACTTTGCAAAATCGATATCATAAAATCCTCATTACCGTCAAAATTATGTCTTCATCAGAACACGCCGATTGTTCGCCATGGAGGAAGAAAGTCACGGCTCTCCGACTGTTTACCAGGCTATTACTGAATACTACAGGTTGATCAACCCTTCTCCTGGCTCAAGTGAGGGACAGACAGACACATGGACACAGAAGTTCCTGGAAGTCTTGGGACCATACTTGGACAGGATATCCCCACGTGACCTCTACACAACAGCGTCACACAAGGCGGATATGTTCATACATAGGTGAGAAGGATTCATGTATACTATTAAAAAGAAGGCGATATTCAATACACATGTGCCACGACTATTGATATTTATACCTTAAATGAGATGAATAGTAGACGGTGTAACAGGGACACCTTACTTGCCTTATTTGTTGACCATCAGATGACGATAGATTTTGTTATCTGACTGACCAAAGCACCCAACCATTACGTCATTTAACACAAAAAGTCAACACTGGTGTTTACTGATTTTGAGTGTTTTATTTCATGCAGTGTTCACAATGAACCCTGTTTGGAGAGTGTAAATGTATAATTCTCTATTTTAGAATAGTATAGTAACCTAAAACAGTTTATTAAAATTATTGTGATGCATATTTAACAATGACGTATTCGGTATTCAACAGGTGTGAGTGGAGGAATGAGCGCTGTGGCCCCGACGACTTCATCCCAACACTCACAGATGCTGGCTTGTGCTACATCTTCAACCAGAACTCGTCTCTCTCCACTGACAATCCAGGTCAGTTACACCTCCATTCGTCAACAGATCTCACTGATGATTAATTATTTCTATTCTGTGACTATCGACTGAACGGTATGCTATGAATGAACCTCTCTCATTATGACGCCACTGACTATTCTTCATCTACTTCTCTTCATTCAGTGAAATGACCAACCGGTAGTCGACGCTACCCATTGACTGTGTTTCTGATTTAAATCAATAGTTTCCTTCCACTGGTGTAAAATATATATAGCTTTAGGAATCAGCTATGCACCCTCGGATTAAAGGTCACTTTGACGTGACCTGCATGAGGAAGTCCTCAGACCTACTTATTTTACTGACATCGGTTTTTCGCTATAGGCAAAGCTGATCAATTACCTTAGGACAAATGTCTATGTTCTGATAAAATAGAATAGATTTCAAACATCTGTCATTTCATATCACGAAAGTGTCCTATTTGTAAATGCGTATTAATATGTTAATTACTTTGCACAGGAAGCGATGGGGGTCTGAGACTCGTTCTGTCTCTGGAACCATGGGACTACATTCGTGGACCACGTGGTACGATAGGCGCATTAATCTACATCCATGACCAATCAGAATTCCCCACACTGACAACCAGTCGCGGAGTTTCGATTGCATCTGGTACATGGACTTCTATAGGTTTAGAGAAAACCAGGGTAAGGGTAACTCATTGTGTACTATTCTACAAGGCGAATGTACGGTTCTTAAAAAGTATAAAACTCACTGATAACAGACACTGAAACTTATTTGTATCACAGGAGACGAGTCTAGCTGCTCCTCACGGAAATTGTGAGGATACACTTCTCAAAGAACTCCCTCTTGGTACCCAGTACACAACCACCAACTGCATAATTAACAATCTCTACCGGTACATCCAGAAAACCTGTGGATGCCGGCACTTCTTCATGCCAAGTGAGTTGTGTATTCTAGATTATACAATATAAGGCGTCAATACCAGAGAATAACAGTCTCTACTTTTTACCGAATCAGGTTCCACGGTGCGTAAAAGGCACAGGAGTTGTGTAAATGATATGAATGGACCACAGAGAGTAAACGATGACACATGTGGACGTGGGATCAAATCCAAAAAGGCCTTGAAACCTTCTCCAATGCCTGTAGTCTGGCACATTAACCTGATACGTTATTATATATATACTGCTAAGTCTATCAACAATTCCGATATTATCACCGACTGTTTTCAATGTTCAAATTGTTTCAGGTATGCCAAATACAAGCTACTGCACATTTTCAGAGCTGATCGGATGTGTGAAGGATCGATTAGGTGAACTACTTATCGTTTTAATAGTTTTCTTTGCGTGAACAAAAATTGAACTTTAAAACGAACAAAAATCAGATTCTACTCTAGTCCATATTAAGTATGCGAAGATGACTTAAGCGAAGGTGTCGACGTAGAACTTGAAATGCTAAATTCTGAATTGTTCCAATACGTGGACTGTTTTGACAACAACGGGTCAGGATAGCGATGACACATTGACTCACTTTTGTACTTCGGTTTTGTTTTCATCTTGTCCCTCATTGTCCCGTCATCGTGAAACTTAACTGTTGCTCTTAGTTTCTTAAAAGTGTGAAAATGTCTGTACAATCATTTCTAATTGGACTACAGTTTCAGTTTTGCTTCCTAGATTATTGGTCTTGAAAGAGTGAAATGAACTGAGAGAATATAGATACGTTCATTTGGTATATTTCTTTCAGACAAGATGGACAATGCAACCCCGATCTCAAACTGCACCAGCCCGTGCAACGTGACCCGTTACGATCTCATCCTATCTGAGGTGGATATGTCCAAGAGGTACACCATAACATCGCGTCTGGAAGACCAACGTGACAACAGTGACTGGCCAGATAACCCGGATGAGAACCCCATCTACGTGCAGTCCTGGGCACTCCTTAATGAAATCAACCCCAGATTTACAGACGATATCTCAACCCTTGCAGATCTGCTGGAACATATATATCACCTAAGCAATAAAATCATCACCGACTTTCCCATCTTCCAGGATGCCTTGAATACATCAGACTTGTACCAGACTTTCGACGACTTTCGGTTTAATTTAAAGTTACGAACAAATATTCAGATTGGTTCCAAATCTTGTACACATTCGGCGAATCTGAAAGGATGCTTGACAGCCTTTATCGCAGCGGAGCAGGTTATCAATACCAATGCTATAAAGACTTGTTCTGTCTCTGAAGGTTTCTTCTATGACATTAAAGAACATTTTGGAAATTTTGAGGAAGCTGTGTCTATGTATGTTGAAGGAAGCGCGACAGAAACAAACAAGAGAGAAATTTTTCATGGCCCCTGAGTAAGGATGTCAACAGGACTGTAGGTCTCGACACGATCAAAGACGAGTTTGCTAGACTACATGCCAATGTTTCTGCTCTTTTGGAAACGTATGGTGACTTAGTATCCCAATGCAAATCTTTCGAAGAAGCCACCGAAGAATATTGGGCGAAATCATTGATAGGCAAAGCTGAGGTTGAAGACATGATTAGGTAGGTGCACTGTCTAACTTCTACAGTAAGAGTCTCGAGAAGGGCAGTGCCAAATGGTGGTAGCTGTTTGATACTGTGCATGTATTATTTCTCCAGTAATATTTAACAGGATATTGATACCGTATGTTTTGTGTACACCCTGTAACAATCTCAAGATGCTCTGACATCTACATGCGTTGGTGTACATGGTGAGAACATTAATCTGAAAGGACACCTTTTATTTAGATTCAGGGCACATTTTATTTAGATTCAGTTCATTACATGTGTATGCTTGGAGTTATGCTTGCCCTTGAATTTATATAAACATAACTCTAAGCCTTAAATATATCCGCCGTGCGTTTTATATTCTGAGCAGCCTTTCTGTACCATTGCATTTGAGGTAATGATTTTTGAACGTTGTTGACGATATACTTCCCATCATAAGTTTATACTCACTAGTGTAAATATAGCCACTTACTTCAGTCAACTGTTCTAAACTAAATTTTGCAAAATATTCCACACTGTTTAAAGGTACTATTTACATATGAATTGATGCATTGTACAACAAATTCATAACGTTGAAAAGATTATTGCCATGACTTCAATAAATGATAAAATCAGTACAACTTGGCGAATTCTTAACAAAACTTTACACCAAAACGTAGCTGTTTACATACACGATATTTGCACATGCTTTTTAGCAATTTGATGCTAATAAGGTTTGATAAGGTTTGCAGTTGGTTCCCCCAAGGCAATGGAGAAATCAATCTTCGATGTAACCACACACACGCACGCACGCACACACACATAACATATAGTGAGTGTTTTAAGTGAGTCTAAAGTATTGATGGGAAGTATATTTGGATGTTAATTTGTTTTTCAATTTCAAGGTAATGCTTTCTTCCCAGTATTGGCTGGACTTCAATTGTAAATACTCATCTTACAATAGCTTTTGTGAAAAGAATACATTCAACGATTTTGATACCAGTGGTTAGACAGCAACTGAAAACGTTATTCGGGTAAATGCAACCTTCCAAAACGTATCCAAAACTTTGTCATGACGTTCTACGTTTGCTGGGATAACAGAAAGGCCGTTGAAACGGAGACAAATTACTCATTACATTTAGGAATCCCGGGCCTAACCTGATGAAAGTTGACATCGGCCTGGTCGACATGTCGTACACTGAAGTCAAACAGATGGAAGGCTACCCATGGTTGTCTCTGATTGGTAATAGCATAGTTTCTTCGGGCAACAAACAAATTGCAATGTCGTTGGACATGTACTCTTATAGTGTGTTTTCGGACGCTTATTTGCAAATGTACGAATGAGCAAAGGTTACATTTTCATAATAATATTTAAAAATAATTCGTTCAAATGAATACAAAAGAAGACTCAATATACTTTCCTTTGCCCATCAGCATCTATAAATAGATTTATTGTATCAATAGTTATTCTATTTTCAGATATTTTTCAGATAAATAATACTCCACTGGGTATCAACAAACTATTGTTTGAACTATGATGTTCTTGGTTTACAATTGTATTGTTAAAGAATCGGATACAATCCCTTTGTCAACATGTAGTATTTGTGTGCATGGCATCTTTATTTACTTCTTTTGTTCTTAAGCAATATCTGTTCCAGATGTTATAGTATTCAATGTACACCAAAGTCTGCTGTAGACTCCCGTGTATTGAACACGACACTGTTCTCATTGCAGGTGATATTGGTGGAACACTTGGGCTGTGTCTGGGTGGAAGTGTGTTAACACTGGTGGAAATTGTTGACGTCATCGTCACGTGGGTTTTCTTCAGAGATAAAGGTAAGATTAAAAAGTTAAGCTGTTTAGGAAGAAACATTTTAAAGCAGCGCCGTATACACCTGGACCAGACAGTCCAGTGATTGGCATCATGAACATCAATTTGCGCTATTTTGACTCGATGTCATGCATTACGCAAGTTAGCGAGCTGACCATCTCATCTCGTTGGTACAACAAGCATGGGTTGCTGAAGACCAATTCTAACCCGTATCTTCCACGAGTTTAACTATAGAATATATAGATAATAAGCTGAATTTATATTTTTATATTTATTTTAAGGATATGATACTTTTTAGCAAAAACGTTTTGTTCCAGATAAATATGAACACAAAACTGAAATGGAGAAAGCACCAGACAAGGGCACAGATGAACCAATACACTGCCAGTCATAATGTTCCAAGTAGTCGGAATGATCACGGCAATTTGAACTTGAAATGGAGTGGAAAGCATGTGTTTCTTGGCCGTGTCAAATAGTTATGTCAGTTGATCTATAGACCAAGTCTCCAAACAAATTGGACAAAGTACTGTGACTATGTGTCCAAGTCCATCAAGCTGTGAATGAGTACCTCGTAAGAATGGGAATGCTACTTGGCGCGCTGCACGAATTGTATGATCCCCAGGGAGTTGAGATTGAAACACCCGATGTACCATTGAGACTGACATCCAATTATCGAGGGAAAAACAAAGCGCTTTGAGCATGCAGGTAGATGGGATGGACTATAGCGCTATATAATTACCCATATAATAATTAATTATACATTGTCACATTTCAGGCCTGAACATTCAGTCTATCCTCTGCTAAAATTAAATAAGGTCTTAGTATGCTTCAGACGTTTATGTCTCTGTTTACCACTACAATATTACAACTGTCTTACATATGGCCGAGGTTTCATTCATGTGTTGACCAGAGGTAGCATCGGCCTATGCATCAACGATAACAAGCATTTGACAAGGAAGTGAACCTGAACAACAGATCCCGTTAGTCGCCTCTTAGGTCAGGCAAGCGTTGCTGAGGACCAATTCTAACCGTGATCTTCACAATAAAAGTCATACTATTGCGTTTGACATGAAAACATACCCGACAAAAAACATTTTCATATTTATAAGAAACATCGGCAAAAGGGAATGTCGATTGTTCGATCCCACAATATAGTGAGTGAGTTCAGTTTTACGCCGCACTCAGCAATATTCCAGCTATATGACGGCGGTCTGTAAATAATCGTGTCTGGACCAGACAATCCAGTGATCAACAGCATGAGCATCGATCTGCGCAATTGGGAACCGATGACATGTGTCAACCAAGCCAGCGAGCCTGACCACCCGATCCCGTTAGTCACCTCTTACAACAAGCATGGGTTACTGAAGGTTCATTCTAACCCGGACCTTCACGGGTTCCCACTATATAACGATCATGAGTTTATGAATCACTGAGAAAAGTGATGACACCGGGTGTTAGCGTTTCCTGCCCGACGGGTGGCAACCATAACAGACACATGCAAAAGCAAGTCATTTGTTCACCTTAAAAACCCATGAGAACATTTATAAAAGTCAAAACAGAGAATTTCATCGGACGTCATAGATACGTCGAATTAGGAAATATCCTGACATTTCAATCATAATACGTTTGTATGGTTTTAATTACTGATTCTTTTAATTCAATTCAGTTCAATTCGCATGGGCCCATCGTCACATTCGCATTACAAACGTCATGTACATACATCTTACTGTACGGTCACCAGCATTCTACGAAGTAAACTGCGTCGCCTTTTACGACAGGCGTTATAGGTTGCCGACTTGAACACTGAATTCTGACTGGGTGGTATATAGCTTGGTCTTTATCCCGATAAGATAAACACATAACAAGGCCGAACCAGTTGTGTTATCTTTAAAATGATTATTTATTTTTCCAAACAATGAAACATATATGTATAAAATACTTTTTTAATATCTGATTAAATATGAGAGTGTGTTATTTATAATGAAGCAATCGTATCGAGATTCACATATTCGCTCACACATGATGGTGAAAGTTTAACAGTGCCACACGAAAACACATTCCCAAAAACCTCAATGCAGGGGCGAGCTCGACATTACAAGTGCTGCATGCGACAAATGTTTGTAATGTATAGTCTGGCATATATGTGGAAGAATCATTACAAATCTAGGATATAGAAAAGTAGTTAGTATGTAATAAAGGCAACCAGAACAAATCACATATGTTTATATATTTCAGCGTTAAGAATGAATCATACAACTTTATGGATGACAACTTCTTGTGTATTGCATCAAGCGACGTTTCGATGTAGATTTTGACACCCTTATCAAGCTAAACTGGTAATCAAAGGTTGCATGCTTCATTTCGGACACGCCAACTTCTAAAATGCCGATCAAACAATATTTTAGCGTTCTATTACATATGATTCATTTTCACAAATTCATATATCACATCTCACACCGAAGTTTTAAGTAATGTTGTATATTATTTCGCTGACGTGTTTCTAAAATATCTGAGCAATACAATTGTCAATGTCATCATTGTTATGACTTGTTGAGTATTGTGTTTAACACCCAGTAAACGGATTCCTGCCGGTTAATGTCTTTGACAAAGAGTCGAAAAGATGCTTATCATCTTCCAACCCCATTTCGTGTATTACAATTATTTCGGTAAATATGTTTTATGTATCTCAAGAAGTGGAGATAGTGAACAATAACTGGAACAAAAGCACATGCCTCCGAGGACAGGTTTCCCCTAGTGGAAGTATAACGTACTTGCACATTTCCAACCAAAATATACTGTACAAGCAATGTTAGGGATCATGACTGTGTTGGTTAATATCCTTATGTAATTATGTTGTCATCTTCTCTACAAAATAACTTTCTAAAATATTTGTGACCCTGAACCTTTTTCAATAGAGTATGATATAACTTACACAGACACATTCAAAACGAAAATGTCATTTCAAGAGAACGACCGGACAAAACAGATTCGAAAACGTAACAAGCAAATCGTGGTGAAAATTATACAGAAAAAACTTCCTAGGTTCACAGCATTTCAGGGTCAGTTCATACACCACCTCTGGTGACTTGAAGGTTGTTGTGGAGACAGCTCGCCAACAGACAGTATTCACAACGTCTTTTCCTATTCGCATACATGGTTACAAACGTTGGTCTTGCAATCAGCCTGATGCCAGATCAAGACATGGTTCTGAAAAAAACCCCAACGAAATAACTTGAACAGTGATGACCCTCTGGTCTTACGTACAATTAAAAGTGCGTTCATTTACAAAGAAAACGCCAAAATCGTTCATTTGGTAATTTTGAAATGAAATAAATGAAAAACGTGGTCGTCAGAGGGCAAACAGTTATGTTTAAGGCTTATGATGAAGTTCCAATATTTTGGTAAATTACAAGTACTATTACAATCCATACCTCTTCTTTTTCAAAAGACCCTGTCGTCTATATTTCCGGCGCTCGCGTACGACTACTACTACGATGATTATGATGGAAACCAGAGAACCGGTAACGATGATGCCAACAGTTGCCGCGACGTTGTCTGGACCTGGAAGAAATTGGCAGCAGTAGATTTACGTTTAATTGTATTCCACATGTTGGTTAGTGTGCTTGATGACTGTGAAGAAGTGTCTGTCATATTCTGCGAAGCTGTGCGTTAGATTCTGCTCTAAGCACCACTCAGTTCAGTTTTGTTTTCATATTTTGCACTCTCCCCATGAGTGACAGATGATTTGATACTTAAAATTTTATATTGGTGTCCAAGTCACCTAAACCGACGCTTATCTCAGTGCCGAGTTGCATCCTTTGGCACGCAAGAGACCAATGTTTGTGAGGTGGAATCCTGGTTGATCCCGATTATGTTCTAGCTCAATCAGCGCCATACTCGAGCTCCAGCGTATCACCGAAAACGAGACCCGCATCTCCTCGGGCTTTCCTCCTACATCAACCTCACATGCCCACATAAAACATTGTTAAAATCGACGATAAAATTGGAAATTTGAAGACATGGTGACTGTAACTGACATAAGATTTGATATGTTAATTTGTTGTTTAACGCCTCAAATAAATCTTTTCACGGCGGACTGTAAATTATTTGGGTCTGATAAACCGGTGATCGATATTGTGAGCGACAATCCAAACCGACGGTGAACAATGACAGACAATCAACCACGTCACAGAGTCTAATCACCCAATCCATTTGATCGACCCTTATGGCAAAGAAAGATTTGATGAAAAGATTTGAAAAAATATGGATGACAGAGTGTGTCCATACATTCGATATAGTATTTTTTAGTGTTGGGAATTGGTTAAAATCTCAAAATTGATGATTGCTTCATTACTACCGATCAATCATCGAAAATAATTGGTTAGCGTCATTTATGAAATTTGTTAATGCACATTAAAATAAGGGGGAAAAAATGTAGTTCTTCTGGAGTTTTTGGCAAAATTTCACATCTTTAAATGATGACTAGCATGTTAGGTACATAAATTTCTTGGAATCTTTAAGATAAATTCAATCATGACTTGAAACGAGCTTGTAGTGCTTACGAAATGTAGCAGACAAAACCAACCATGTGAAAAATATTGTTAATGAAAACAAGTGTTCCAGAATTGTTTGTGTTCGATTATGAGAAATTATGATCGATTGCTTGGTCGTTTAGTCACTACGGCCAATCTTCGATTATTGCAATTAATCGGACCACCACTAGTATTTTTGTATTGTCTGCCAAAGTAGTGTAGGAACAAAGCCAGTTATAACGTAGTTTGTAAAGGCAACCACGAAGCCTACAAGAAGATAGTTAAACTGACAAAGGCCACAATACGCGCATTATTGAGTAATTAATGTAAGATTGAAAGGTGGTCCCGGAATTGATGCCCATTAATTGATACCTGTATATTCAGCCTTCTTGTCATCCATTACAACACACTCTGCCGTCACGTCAGGCGTCCATCGGAGCTCGTTGTTGGTGCTCATGGAACACTGATAAGTTGTCTCCCCTTTCACTGTGCCCTTGTTACGGCAGCCGGTGACGGTCACAGTGTTTCCATATGTGTAGTTACGGCTGGATTTTGTTGCAAAGGGTACGTTAAGCAGGCCACAGGACTGAGCTGAAATGAGCCAACATTTTGTGAAACAAATCAAGTGAGGGGGTTATTATTCAGGCTCTACACAGGCGGTCAGCTCGAAAAGTTCTGTTCATCCTGCTTGTGACGTATGTAACGAATGTATGAAGATTCAGTGAAAACCATTTTAGGTGATAGCTATTTATGTGACAACTATATGCGCTTCAGTATGGTAACCTAAAGGTCGAATACAATCAATTATGACGTGACAAGCAGGTGACGTAAAATCAAACATTATAACGTTGCGAGTCCACCCAGGTTATATGGACAGTCCCTTCTGATCACTTGAAGGATGGAAGATGTGTTTAGCAGTATTTCAGTAATATCATATTGATACCTATTTAGTATACCTATTTAGAACACGTTTTAGACTTGGTCAGGGGGTGGAAATAACTTTAAAATTGCTAGTGTACTCCGGTACAGTGGCACATGTAAAATCACTTGCCCTGATCATTTTTCCACTATACCGGCCGTTTTCTTATTGATTTTTTTAAATAAACAGCATTATTATCACTGGAAGGTCAACTGGACACCGGTACAGCGTGATATACAAATTTGCTTGCCCGACAGAAAAAAGCACTGGACTCGGACGTCGGGCAATAGGTTATTTCCACCTCTGTTGGTCTTTAGCAACCCATACTTGTCGTAAGGGGAGACTAACGACACATTTTATCGTATTCCAATTGCGGAGAGCGATGTTCATGCTGTTGATCACTGGATTGTCTGGTCCAGGCTCGATTATTTACAGACCGCTATAGCTGGACTACTGCTGAATGCAGCATTAAACAACCAACCAATCTATTTAGAGCATAAGTACTTTAAACTGCAATGGTACTCCACCCTGCTGAATCTTGCTGTGCTACACCTGTTCAACCAGAATATATCACAAAAGAATGATATATTCACAACACATACCGGGTTGTTGGAAGCTCTTGATGTCAGTAAACCATCCGGCAGCCTGCCTCGAAGCAGCGGCCACAACTGAACTGCCTGTAACGACGTAGTCAAACCGACATTGAGCGTCCATCCCGCAGACGGTGGCAAGTTCGACCTCGGTGACACCCGTCCCCTGGGGTAACTGGGAAGCATCGTAGATAGGGATGAAGTTCATGTCGGCGGCGTTTTGATGCTTGAACAATGACTCACTTGACAGCACGTTCCCTGAATACAACAAACAAACATAAATGCAATGTATCAGTTGACACGGGTGAAAACACATCAACAACAATCAATGAACCAGTAGATACGGGCTATTAGGAAACAAACATAAATTGTTACATTCATATGAGTTGCGTCCCTTAGACTTCCATGATCCTATAATGATGAGTTCGAATCCCAGATTTTCCCTTACCGTTTTAATTAGTTTTTTCTGCACCATCCACACACTTGGGAATTCCTTTTCACACAAGCTGACACGGAGTTCAGTCAAGCGTTCAAAAAAACCCCAGTGCGCTCTCATAATGTTTCGGACTGCCTCCGTGGTGTAGTGGTTAGAGCGTCCGCCCGAAAAGCGGAAGGTCGCGGGTTTGATCCCCGACCGCGTCATACCAAGAGACGTTAAAATATGGTACTTGTTGGTCCCTGCATGGCCCTCGGCATTAATGGGTACAACAAGGACTGGTCGGCTCGGAGTCAGTATAATGTGTCTGAGTGGGGGTATTCATGCTTCACTGCGGCATGGTATCTCAGTGGGCTAGCACTATAAAACCAGCATAAGTCTGGGCTAGTACAAGCAGCCGCACATACACATACACACGCATGCACGTCGTCATATGAGAGAAATATTCTCAAGCACGATGTTAAACCCAATTTCACCTCACCTCATAATGTTTCGACCGAAGGACAATGGTTCAACTGTTGTTTCAACAAATAAATGGTTATAACCGTATTTTCCCCTGATACACCGGAGTGTATTTACACGCATCAAGACTACACCTACATACATGTTTTGCCAAATAATTGATAGACGTCGGCCTTCGGGGCCCCGATCTCGACGACACCTCCGCTCTTCGGGGTGAAGTCGTCAGCCACCATGTCGTTCCAGGTGCCCATCAAACCAGAAGTGGTGTTCTGTAAATTACAAGACATGTTAATTCACATTTGTACCAGACACACGACAATAGAATGAAGATACCTACTTATAACAGCTATTCGACTTTGTACACGAAAATAAATATGTTATGTTGAAATTATTCCAAAATTATTTCTCTCCTATCCCCATGAGATAATATATACGAGTAATTACCATTTTTTCCTGGATGGTAATGACATGGTAATGTATGTATATGGTTATAGAAGATACAAGTCGACGGGTCTACTCACCTGGATTGTTTTCTGGCATATTCCCAGTTGTTAAAAAGCACGTTATTCGCTCTGCACAAACGTATCTCATAGGTCAGACAGACTCACGGATTCTGGTTTTGAATCAAACATCCACGCTGATTGTGTTCATTGGATTTTCAATATACTAGTACCCTAAGCCTAGTTCGTGAAATTCACCAAAACGATAAATGTCCACGACCTGCAATACAGCTGACTTGTGACAGTTGACAAAGATATAGTCCAAGTTAAGCGTGGTTATGAGTTCTTGCTAACAGTGTTAACCTCTGATACCCGAGGTTGGCGCAAATAGTGACGTCATAGTTAAACCTAATCTATTTGATTTATTGATTCCATCATGAATGAAAAAACATTATGAATATTATTAGGTACTAATAGTATACATGCAATTTACGCCTGACAATTTTATCTTTTGAGTTTTGATATAATTACTTTAAAATCATATCTTATTCTTGTCGTTTTACAGTCTTATAACAGAAAAGGTACAATGGCAGTGTTTTCAAGCAAAACAACTCTAAGTGTTGAGTGCAACAATATCCCCGACGTAAAGGAAGAAATTCCTACACCTGACGTAGCATTGCATCATCCCCATTTGAAAAACATGTATTTTGAGTAAAAGTAAATGTTTTTCGCCCATGGGCGAGTTTTTTTAATACCGCTCTAAATTAGCCGAATTAAGTCAAAATGAGTTGAATTTTGTGTCATGATACGAATAAACATACATTCATTCATTTACAACTTTAAAAAACATGAATTCTGAGTGAAACTAAACATTCACGCCCGTGGTAATTTTGAGTTTTCGGAAAAAAATCATTTAAAATTTTTTTTGCATGTTTAATTTTGTCAAATCCTTTGTCAGAAAGTGGACATAGTGAGGGGATTTTCTGGACTTTCGTGAGTCCAGAATTAAATTGTGACGTGTTACTTGTAAACCTGTGTATCATTACAATACTTTGCTGGTGTTTTTTCGATTTACCCTTGCAGAAATTGTGTTTTTCATTTAAGGTTCCATTTTATACTTCGGGTATTCCCCAAAGATACCCTTTTTTAACACTGGTGAACTAGGTTCATCATGGTCATCCCTGAGACATGAAATGCCTGTGACTGAAGTTTATCGATCGCACGTTGTATCAACTCTCAGCCCTTACACTCATACCCAGACCCGTGAAGATCCGGGGTAGAATAGGTCAATCTCTTGCCATAAAAGGCGACTATCTTGTCGTAGAGGCGACTTCGGGTGGTCAGTTTCGCTGACTTGGTTGACACATGTCATCGGTTCCCAATTGCGCATCGATGCTCATGCTGTTGACACTTCATACTGAAAAACTAAACTCACTCACTCACTCACATACAATACCACATTTCACATATTAATGCAGTTCAATTTGTCATTAGAGCTCCCACCTTGAGGGCTGGCGGCATGTTGACGATGACGTGAAGGAGTCTGTTTACCGCCGCTACTTGCACCCCTACTCCCGACTGCATGATGACGGTGAAGTTGTCGTGGAGGTTGTTGTCGGGGTCGATAGCAACGTTGATGACAGAGACACCACCTGAACGATATAACATGGTATTCGCAACTATCTTTCTTTGTTTTAATAATACGATATGTTGTCAATATATATGATTGATTCGTTTCTTTGCTTGTAGTTTAGCCCCGGAATATTCCAACAATATGATGGTGCAGATAACCAAATCTGGAAGAGACAGTGATTTAAGTTGTGAGAAACTGACGTTGTCAATTGAAAAGAGTTGCTTCTATGCCGGTTGTTTTTAGCATTAATCAAGCAATATCATGGCCGGGGGCGCCAGAAGAGAGGTTCACACATTATACTCATGCGGGGAATCGAACCCGGGACTTCGGCGTGACGAGCGAACGTTTTAATCACTTGGCTATCCGACCGCCTCTGAAGTAGGAAGACACTCTAGAAGGTAGAAGTCACAGAGCATGTTCACCCTTATCCCAGTCCGAAATCTCCATGGGTAATATATGTAGATAATTACTGCCTATCCCTGGATTTTATATATTTGCATTTTTAGTTAACCATATTTTCACCTTCTACTGAAAGTTCACATGTAGACACACGAATACATATTACCGCTGAATGTTTGCTTAAACATGGCCGAAGCATCAAACAACTTCATTTGTCCATCCACAAAGACATCGAGACGCCTGCCACTGTTGAGCCCGGGGGGAGCGAGACGTATCTCCACTCTGGGGCCAGACACCCCCAACATGGCCACTGACGTCAACACGGTGGCGTTAAGGCGGCTACCGTCAGCTGAAACATACATCTAATATTTGCAAAAAGTCTGAACAGCAACAGCATCAAGGACAACTGAATCAACAAGAACATATCTGGAACATCAGCTGGAACATATATACATCTAACATTTACAAAGATCTGAACCAGTGTCAATAGCAACAGCATCAAGGACAATATCAAGCACAAGAACAATTGAAAATACAAACACATAATTGAAACAAATGTCTATTATTCATCTTATTAGGTACACTTATATTGATATCGGCATGGTTACACAGGCCATTGACCTCACTCCATGCTATAAGTTATGTCATCGCAGTAACTATACTAGATGGCCTGGGTGGCATGTACATGTATATTAGACGTAAATATCTACCAGAATTTCACTTTACCATGGTTCTGTTCTCCTATGTCGAACTTCCCTTGAAGAGAAAACTGGTCCGACTTTACAAGATAGTAGTCTCCCTTGCCACCAAAGTTGTACAGTTTTCCGTCAAATGTCATCATGTGGGGGTCGCCGTACGCAAATGCTAGAAATGAACAATATCTTCAAAACAAATGCTTGAAATGCTTAATAATCAGTGATGAATTCGTACAATTTGTAAGATTATCTTGTATTTCACCCCCTATGTTAGGGTGTGGATATATCAACCATATGTACTAAATTATCTATAATATGAACAGTAAAAATTAAGCTGGTCCAGAAACAAAATTTGTCTAGATTATTGATGAAAGATCGGCGTCAGTACAAAATCGGAACTTAATGCGTTTCGTATTTTGGACATTGATGAATCAGTATGCCATCTATGTGTTTGTTAACCCAAGGCGTATCAGCGAATCTCGTTCAAGATGGCAATAACACGAAAAACACACGTTTTGAGTTAAAGTGTAATTCAAATCAAAACAAGGAACTACACAAAGATGCCATTTGGATCGGCCACACTTTCGATATTATCACTTTGTAACCTTTAAGAAAGTTAAGCCGGTAACATGCCTTTCTGCTGATTCCACACTGAAGATGTTTCGGCAGATATTCAATACAATTCACTTGAATAGACGTTTGGAAGTTTCGTTCCGCTGTCATAGGCCATGCCATATCGTGTCTTGTTACCCGTTACTATCCTCAATGGCCTTCTATAACTCCCATCTTGCCTGAATCAGTAGACTATGACCAGTTACAACCAAGAGTCCCACAATATGGTACCCCTGTCTGTTTATAAATGTTAACCCTCAACAACAAAGTGTTAACCCTCAACAACAAAACGGTAGCCGAAGGTGACACCCTTACACACCTTAGGAGGGCGGGTGATGTAAGAGCACCAGGTGGCCCACTGGATACCCTTACCCGCTTTATGGGGAGGTAGCCGTTACAGCGCCCGTTCGTCCAATTTTCATTCAAATTTGGCATCCTCACCTGCTTTACCTAGGAGGGCGAAACCCGACTTAATTCCAGGTGACTCAAAATGAGACCCTGACATGCTACAGGTAAAAGGTACCCGTTGCAGCATCGGTTTGTCCATTATATACTCATGGAAACGAATAAGGGAACACATGAAAGTACAAGTGTTCCTTTATTCATTTCCAGAATTTCACCCACAGTGCAATACATGCCTTGTGAAGAAACCTGGAAAAGAATAAAGGAACATTTGTACTTTCATGTGTTCCCTAATTCCTTTCCACAAGTATACATTAAATTTCAAATTGGTATCCTCACCTGCCTTAGGAGGGCGGTACCCGTTACAGTCCCGGGTAGCCCGCTGGTCCATGTAGTAATTACAGTGGCTGTACTCCGTCCACAGACAACAGTAGTAGAAGGTGACGACATCCTTGATCCAGTGAGACAATGAGGGTACACGGCCGGGTTTGTTGTAGGGGGCGGCGCCCCAGTCGTGGCTGCGGTCGGGGGTGCTGCCTTGGTAGGTGTCGGCGGCGTAGATAAGCAGGCCGTCTTTGCCGTAGCAACACTGATTTCCTGCTCCTGTAGATCTGAAAAAGACACTTCTATGAAATATCTTACTTCAGAAACTGAAAGATGCCCTTGACTTGCTAAATGTGGAAAATGTCAACACCGTTTTGCCTTTTACTGGTTGTTCTCTGGTTTTGACGTTTAAATTAAATAATGTCACCCTTAATGTAATGTATTTTCTTCTTACTTTAACAATGCATATATGCAACAAAAATTGTGTTTGTAACGTCGCACTCAGCAATATATCAGCTATATGGTGGCGGTCTGTAAATAATCGTGTCTGGACCAGACAATCCAGTGATCAACAGCATCAGCATCGATCTGCGCAATTAGGATACGACGACAGGTGTCAGCCAAGTCAGCGAGCCTTACCACCCCATCCATTAGTTAGACCAATTCTAACCCGGATCTTCACGGGTAACAACAATAGCGACGAAGTATTAAGCGTCTACCTCATGATTGGTCCGGACATACGTGAAATCCATTTAAGATCTAAAATGCCAGAACATAAGTAACTATATGAATATGAACTGTGAAATTTTAATTTCCATTTTTGGAATTTATACTGATCCATAATACTTGTGGCCTAATACCAGGTCCCTGCATACGTACGATGGCTGGAGGGAGCGGACGCAGTGAACAGCCTCTTTGTGGTAGAAGCAGTTGTCGGGGCTGGTTGAGAATATGTTGCACCCAGACTGAGACTGCCAGCGGCCAAAGTCGGACAGTCCTTGGGAGAGGGTACATGGGCAGTACAACAGCTTGTCCATCCACGTCATGTTCACCTTGTCCTTGTTGTACCACGAGGTACAAAGCTGAGGAGCCCAGTTGGAGCCATGGAGCCTGCTCATGGCGCTATTCACGAACCATCCTAAAGGAGTTACCCCTGATTTTACTGCTCTGAAACAGATTACCAACAAGGTCGTCATGATATTCTGCAGATTTAGTATTTATTTAGTCTCTAAGTGTATCATTAGTATTCAACAGAGCCTACGTTCTTACCGGATAACAGACATTCCAGCGATCAACAGCTTCAGCATCGATCTACGTACTTGGGATACAATGACATGTGTCAACCAAGTCAGCGAGCCTGACACCGATCCCGTTAGTCGCCTCTTACGACAAGCATGGGTTGCTGAAGATCAATTCTAACCAGGATCTTCACTGTCCATGATGCGTCAAATTTGTAAAGTACCGCATGCCATTCGTCTACCATACCAAAGCCTTGAGGGTGGTGGTGCAGCCTAGAGGTGAACTCGTACAATGTGCATGCTAAGTCCCAGTCTGGTGTGCGGCGCCGTAATATTGCTGGAATATTGCTAAAAGCGTAGTAAAACACAAACTCACTCAAGCACACTCTTTACAGTCTTACTGGGCACTTGAATCGTGCAACCCTAAAAACCAAAAAAATCAGAGCAAAAGCCGTACGATGCTCTAATACTCCTGGCAAGAGTATGGCCGGTAATAGTTGTGAAATGACGACGCCAAAGCCTCGACTTACAGTTTAGTGTTGGCCCGTGTGCGGAAATCCCTTTTCAGCTCCACCTCCACAAAACCGATCTCATACACTGCACAGTCTTCCGGCTGACACTGGTGGTCCGAGGGTGTGAAGGTGAACTCGCCTGAGTTGGCTGCTTCAGATGAGAGGATACTCAGAGTCTTCCAGTTTATCTGGAGTGAAAGTGTTCATGAGGTATTGACGATTGAAATATACTTTGAATATTTTGAGGAAGAATCACTTTTACAATTTATGTATGTTTGCTGACATATAAATGTAAAGCAATATCTGCTTATTTACATACCGTGGTCATATAACTAGCACATTGCTGACTGCGGCGCTAAACAACAACCAAACTAAACAAAAACAATAACCAGTTCGCCATGTGGTTTGTAACGGACGAGAATATCTTATAGGGATTAAGGGGACGGTGGGGTAGCCTAATGGTTAAAGCGTTGGCTCGGCACGCCGAAGACCCGGGTTCGAATCCCCACATGGGTACAATGTGTGAAGCCCATTTCTGGTGTCCCCCGCCGTGATGTTGCTGGAATATTGCTAAACGCGGCGTAAACCCAAACTCTGTCAGTCAGTCAGTATAGGGATTAAGGCACATTCTAATTACTACTGCCACCAAAGTAACGCCGATACAGGTATGTACTTAGATTCCCCATGATCATCCTCGATAATCTCCAGGGTATACGTTACGATAACTCTCCACTATACCTTGGATGCATCTACGGCTCGGCTCGATGATTTTATTACCTCCCTTTGCTGGCTCCGCATTCTCACAGTAGCCAATCAGATAAGCCGCCGTTACAACCGAGCTTGCCAGTGTCAACAAAGATAGCGGTCGCAGCTGCCAAAGTTTGTTTGCAGTGCGAAATCGCAGATTTGGGGGGAAAAATACTGACAAACGACAGGTCTGAAACCTGAAAAAAAATATATGCAAGAACTCCTTATTTCAGAGTATCTGCAACAATATATTATTGTGTTGACAAGTTTAATCGGTTAGATAATTTAACAAGAGTCATCAGAAGATGACATATCCCCACCGGCCCCCACATCTTTGAAAGAACAAATCATCTGACAGTTACTAAAAGTCCAGCTTGATTTTAGACTAAGTGCAAATCGATCAATGGAAATCATAAAAAAAATAAATGACAAATATCTGCAAATAGCAAAAGGCACCACTTCAAGATCTGCCTCACATATCTGCCAAGTTTTACTGAAAGATATTAAGAAGTTTTTGAGTTGTGCTCCGAAACGTACCCGCCCTTTTGAGACTGTTCGTTTCCATGGAAACCGAGAAAAATATAAATGATAAAATCTGCAAATACCAAAGCACCACTTTGGGATCTGCCTACATATCTGCCAATTTTGTATTAATTTTCGAGTTGTGCTCCGAAACGAAAACCCTCCTTTTGGATAAGCGAATCGATAAACCGGGAAAATCTGCCCAAAATCTGCAAACAGCAAAAGGCACCACTTAAGGTTCTGTTTGATATATCTACCAAGTTTTGTTGAAAAATATTGAACGGTTCTTGAGTTATACTCCGGAATCGAAGCCCACCCTCCCTTTTGGGATTAAGTCCGAATCGTTTCCATGAAAATCGAGAAAAATAAATATGCCAAATTCTGCCAAATAGCAAAAGGCGCCACTTTAGGATCTGTTTGATATATCTACCAAGTTTTGTTGAAAAATGTTGAACGTTTCTTGAGTTATGCTTCGGAAACGAAGCCCACTCCTCCCTTTTGGGACTAAGTGGAAACCGGGAAAAATAAAAATGCCCAAAATCTGCAAATAGCAAAAGGCACCACTTGAGGTTCTGTTTGATATATCTACCAAGTTTTGTTGAAAAATATTGAACGGTTCTTGAGTTATGCTCCGGAAACGAAGCCCACCCCTCACTTTACTGACTAAGTCCGAATCGTTTCCATGGAAGCCGGGAAAAATTAAAAAAAGACAATAATCTGTAAATAGCAAAAGGCACAACCTTAGGTTATGTTTGACTTATCTACCAATTTTTGTTGAAAAATATCGAACGGTCTTTGAGTTATGCTCCGGAAACAAAATCATTACGGACGGACGGACGGACGGACGGACAGACGAACGAGGCAACGACTATATCCCCCCGCATTACATGCCGTGGGGATAAAAAGCGATAGTGAGTTGTGATTGGTACGCTCAACTTCCCAGCGTAGACACCTGCCTGGATAAAAAGCCAACCAAGGGAGGCAATAAAATCATTGGGCCGAGCCGTAGATGCACCCAGGGTATAGTGGAGAGTTATCGTAACGTACACCAGGGGGATAATCGAGGATGCCTCACGATGTCAGTGGTTGGATTGTCGGGTCCAGAGACAATTATTTACATTCCGACGTTATATAGCTGGATTTATAAACAGGGCGTTAAACAGAAAGCAAAATTTATATAAACTATCCCAAAAAAGAAACGCATAGGCGTTTTGTATTTCTTAAAAAATTATTAATTACCTATTGTGTTAAAAAAATCGTCAAAATATGTAACAAAAGTGTTGATAACATGATTTTACACAATTGCACACGTGAAAAGTCGACTTTACCTGAAAATGTTGATTTTGATGAGATTTCTTACAAGAATTAAAAAGGCATCGCCACAGCGCAATAGAAATCACCTTTCAGTTGAAATTGAGCAGCAAAGAGCATGCACTGTCTGGCTATCCAGATTACTGTCGCAAATCGGCATCTGTTTTGAAGGAGTTTCAAGGTCAAATCACTACGCCAAGTCTTGACGCTGCGACACGGAACATCGCCAATGCACGCTGGAGATTACCAATTTTCTGTTGCCAGGCGTCTGAATGTTAGTCTGAGCACGATATCACTGCTATGACAAATGACCATCCCGTACAGGCAGACCTCGAGTCACCACTGCAGCCCAAGATCGGTACATCCGGGTACTACATTTGCGTGATTGTACTGCCACGTGTGAGAGCACAGCAGCCAGGGTGCCTGGACTTCGGAGGATATACGGTCAAACTGTACGGAACAGGTTGAGAGAGATTCGACTGACAGCCAGGAGACCCGACGTCAGAGCCATGCTACGTGGTCATCATCGCGCTCAACGTCTCTGTTAGTTATCTAAAATTATCCACTTGATTGTATAGACATTACCTTCTTCTAAACTGATGTAAAAATTCATTTCTTAAAGTCTATTTGTAAACGAGTTATATATGTTTGAAAATACAACATTTTCGCAACCGATTTCTGGGTTATGCGTATCTTTTTTGGAATAGTATACCTTATAATAACAATGAGAAATGTCAATTAACCCATGATCTGCATCACTTGATATCTGAACAATCGGGACCAGTAATGTTAATTTACCAAACATTTAGTTGAACAAGATCATAGTGTTTATATCGGGATCAGGAACATAGGCCTAATCGATCAAAGAAGTGATTCTACTTGTCACGTTTTTTGCTAACTCAGTTCTCCTCTTCCCCTTGTTTCCTCACCTGGTCTCCATCCTCCCTGTACCCAACCACTCTGATCTCCACGAGTACCCCCTCTTCTTTTGACAAGGCAACCGGATCCCATCTCATAGTGAGGCTGGGCGGGTTGACCTCTCTCCAGGGGTTACTTCCGCCCGGAGCAACCAGCTCCAGCTTTCCTAACACGACTGAAATTTATAGAACAAACTGTTATGCTAAAGTTTAACATAAAGGATAGGACATTCTTGTGTAGATATACACGTACCTTTATAGTATGCAGTGTGTAGAACGTATTACGCGATTCATAGTATGTGAGCTTTACTCCACATTAATCACCCCCAGTAAATCAATGTGTTTGAGGGATGTTGACAAAATATTTGATCCAACAACAAATTTGATGGAAATAGTCACAGAGTTTTACCGCCTCATCCACTATTTCGTCAGCATTTAAAAAAAAAACGTGAGGTGTTTGTACAAACACAAAACCCAGAAACTCACAGAGCAGTTCTTATGTCATAGTGGTGGTTGTGGAGACAAGCTTATTGTTTACATATTCATGTCGCCTCCAACACTTACCAATATAGATATCTGCACTCCCAGTATAATTATTACCACCATCTATAGACACAGATACGGGGACAAAACCTGTTCCTGCAAGTCTTGGAACTGGACATCTCAACCTCATGGAGTTAAACCTGAACCCCTCAGAGGTTACTGAAGTCTCGCCGCTCCCGAACCGACACATGACATTCACGCTTTGATTCAGGCACGGACCGGATATGTCCAGAAGTTCCCCCCCGAACATCCCGGCTACCTTTGGACGAATCTGTAAATCTAAAACGTTTCAAAGCAATATAACCATATGATACGGATAAACGGACATACTTGACTTTATAAATCAAGCTATTTAGTATGTATGTTACAGTCAATGTCTACAATCAGGCAATGTGTACAATGCCTGTAATAACTAGTCAACGTGTACATAGCCTGATTCACTCAGTCATTTTGTACATTGTCTCAAATTTCCTGGCATTGTGTACATTGCCTGATTAATTAACCCAATTATTGTACAGATTGACTGATTGTAGACATCGACTGTAACATATACATGTAAATAGTGTATGTGCAATAGATACCGTATGTATTATTTTCCATTTCAAGTGATTTTGCTGTGTATTTTGCTATCAGTTGAAATGAATCGTGTACCATGGGCTATGAGGCCAGATATGCTAAACTATTTGTGTCTTTTGTCATGTTCTATCGTACGTGCGAAGATACACGCTGAATTAAAGTCATGAAAATTACAAGTGATTTACCTCTGTCCCTTAAGCAACCGCCGATCTCAAGCGTATCTTTTGATATACGATATATGAACCTTCCAATTACGTCACTTCCTCTCGTGTTGGGAAGGTCAGCAAAACTACATCCGGTACATACGCTCGTCCATCCCAGACCATGACCTTGATTTATACCAGCCTGGAATGACAAACAATAGTTGAAATCTTGTTTTTCCAACAGAACATGACAACGGGATTACACGTAAACCGATGTGTCTATTGATACTTTAGGTTCGCTAGACGCGATGCCATGCTGCTACTCACTCACTATCACGTGTCAATCAGGAAGCTCCAAGCGATACAGGTGTTGCAATTATTGTGTGAACTCCTGAAAGAACGGCTACATCAACACTTTCAACATTGATCCATAGCCGCAGCTGCTGATGTTGATGCTGGTAAATTGAGCAGGATGGTGGCGATCCAACCAACCACATCACGTATATGACTAAACATAGGGCTCTCAGCTTGAAGTTCGGCATATGTCGAGAATAGGCATGAACCGGACCCAGGCCACAAATGGGCTGGACATAAAACAGACCGTTCACCGCTTACATGATATGGTGACCTTCATGCTTAATAACTGACCACTACCCGCAATACATCGGCCAGGGCAGTCGATGTGCAGATAGATGGGTCAGTTAGGATATCGCTCCTGCAGCAAAATAGCGAGAATGAGGTCAAAACAATGAACTGATGGTTGATCTATTTTACTGTTGTTTGTTTCCCAACCAATCTGAATGTATTCTGTGGTTTTGAACAACAGCAACAACACACTTGTTTTGCAACGGTTCGCTCAGATTTCGCCATTATTAAATCGTGTTTGACCTCGAATTATTCAGGAAGCGTGTAATGTAGCGTATCTCACTGCAACAGATGCGTGTTTGATATGTTAATTACTTGATAGAATTGCTGGACAGGGATATCCATAGTGAGGTAGCTGAAGACAGGAATGTGTATCCATAGATGCGTGTTTGATATGTTAATTACTTGATAGAATTGCTGGACAGGGATATCCATAGAGAGGTAGTTGAAGACCACGAGTGTGTGCATCTCGCAGGCAACGAGGACCATCTGGAACATGGCCGTCTGAAATAGATATTGACACAACTAGCATCAGTTCTGGATCTAAATAATATCTAATAACAAGAAATACTACTACTACCGCTGCTGCTGCTGCGACTACTACTACTACTACTACTACTACTGCCTCTGCTACTACTACTACTGCCTCTGCTACTACAACTGGCTTCAACTACATGTACAGCTACATGTACTAACAACAATTAGAGTAGTATGAAGAAATATTACTGACTAGTACTTCCACTACGACTGCTAGTGCTACAACAACAACAACTACTACTACTATTACTGCTACTACTACTGCTACTGCTACTGCTACTGCTACTACTACTACCACTGCCACCAGAACTACTGGTGCTGCTGTTACTACTACTACCTCTACTATTACTCATGCTACTACTACTACTACTACTGTTGCGGCTATTACTACTTATACTACTGCTACTACTACCACTTCAACTACTACTGCTGCTACTACTACAACTACTGCTGCTACTACTACTACTGCCACTGCTAGTTTTACTACTACTATTGCTCCTGCTATCTAGTCCTAGTATATCCTACTGCTCTTTCTTACTACTACTACTTCTTCTATCTCTCCACTAACTTCAACTAGTTTGTTTTGCGAGTCCTCCTCTTGTAAAAACAAGCTGTTGACAATACATCTTATCGCTTCGCGTGAACGAACATACAAGAGAATTTGCAATTAAACATCGCTAGAAAAGATTATTTACCTATTCAGTTCTAATATGTTTTTCCTAGGCATTGTCTTTGACTTATATGCAGGGATTAAGATTACCGTGTGTAATTCTCTCGTATACAGCGCCGGAAATAGCAATCAGCTGTGCAGTGCACGCGTTCCCCTACCGGTGATTTAGTTAAAACGTACCCATTAAGATTCTGAGATAAATTCTGATGCAGTGATCTTAAAAGGATAGTACCTGAAACTATTGTTTTATAAAGAGAAGTATATCCTAGTATTGTGTCATTTTCATTGCAGGTTGTGCTCTATAAATGTAAAATATTTATAATCATAACTAAGGTTATGCGACAGCTTTTGGTGTATTGCCGGATAGTTTTTATGTACGGAGCAATTTAACCTGTCACTGATGAAGTTTCGCGCGATCTCGCTATTTCCACTGCGAAAGAAGTTTGTTGACTTGTGATCGTCCAGCTACACTAATTATGACTTTTGGCGAAATAAAATATGTATGCGTATCCATTTACTGTCAGATATACTTCATTTCGAGACGTGAGTAGACGTAATATGTTAGTGATAGCTGTGAAGTAAGAACATTGTGTTAATGAATTACTGGTAGGCGAACATGTGGACTTCTTGACATTGTTAGATCACGTAATTTACATGGACCGGAAATGTTTACTTAACAAAATTAGAGATGTCATTACGCCTGGAAAGGTTGAGCCTGGAGTTTATTCTTTCAAACTTTCCTGCCCGCAAAACTTTGTCGATTTACAGTATTTATTATTATTCCGCCGATTTTTGTACCAAACATAACTCCTAAACCAATGCTCCGAATCGCTTACAAAACTCACACAGATGCGCACCGAGGTGTAGATATTCCCCTTAAAATTCTCTAGGCTCTAGGCCCAATAGCAAAGGGAAGATAATTCAAAATAAATTCCAAAATTTCAAAGTTTGACAGCGAATATCTCAAGAACTAATTGTTCCAACACTTCCAAATCTCTTGTACAGATGCACAATCGAATTCCCAACAATTTTGCCTGACAGGTCAAGCCGCTAAAACCAACCGTAGCAGTTATTTTGTTTTTAGCTTTTGGCCATGTTTTTCAGCATAAGTTTGCAAAATGTGCAAATTCTGCCAGTATGGTTGATGAAGGCTTGTTGAGTCAGAACACTAATTGTATTGACAGACCCAAGAACAACTAAGATACAGCCTTTTAAAGGGGAACTATTTCTCAAGAACTAATTAAAAGGTACATCACCCCCAAGCGACCCCGGCTGTATTTGGAAGATCCGCTCGCCTGCCAAAAACGTGTTCTTCCGTTTTGGACATTTCTAGCCCTGTTTTGGACGATTTCTAGCCCTCAAATACAATTCAAACACCCGTAACTCTCAAACCAACTTGTACCTGTACAAGTGGGCTATTAGTGTCGATTATAACTACTGACGGCACTGATCGCAGTAATATGTCTCCAGAAACTAGCAGTGAAATGATTCATATTAACTAAAACTATTACAAATTTCATCAAATATGTGAAAGACACAATAGCCTAGATAGAACTAAAGCCGAGGAGCCCCTCCATCGTTGCTTGCAACAATATTTTTCATTATTATTTCCGTGATTCTAAAATTATCTGATATCTGTTAACGACATAAGAAATGTATTTAAAGTGACTTTCGTGTTGTATTATCCATTTTTAGGAGTTTGGAAATTCAGGGTTATCTTTCCTTGGAAATAGTCCTAGACTGTTTTCATCTCCGTGTCCGCGGTTTGCCCTTAGACAAGGCCCAGTCGTGAACATGGTAACGAGAGGGTACGAGTCGCCATCCGACTTGCCGGAATGACACGAGTAGTTACGAATGGCTAGTGACAACCCATTTTCTACCTTGCAGGTGTTTGTTGCCTTGCACCCTTGCTGGGCACCGTCCACAACGTCATACCACGTGACAACCAGCGCCACCACAGGTTCAAATGGTTCCCAGCCAATCGTGGCATCCAGCATGTACGTTTGGAGCTCCTTGAGGAATGCCTCGCTTGTATTGGAGAACGCTAATCTGTAATACACCTTTCCTTCGTCTTCTATGATACTTCTCCCAGAGAAATGGAACGGCGCAGCAAATGGTAAATCCATACTCGGATCACGGGTAGTGTCATTGAAATAGGTCTCCTCATATCGGACCGTTGAATCAAATCCAACAATCCCATCTTTATTCACCTAGAACAATAAAATGAATTTATCACAACGGTTGGTTGAAATTGTATGAAGTACTTGTTATATCTGGTTTATGCTTAGCTCAAACATCTGAAATATTTCAGCTTTACGAAGGCTTCATCTTAATAAAAGGATATGGACCAGAAAATCAAGTGATGTAGTGAGCAGCGGTAAGTGCCTTCGGGAGACAAGGACCATGCCTTCCAAGACACTGATAACCCATTTTATTCAGGGCGTGTGACAACCAGCATAAGTTGTTGGGGTGGCTTGAAACAACTTCGTCGCTGTCCGAATATACTGATAATTATTTAAGAACACATATATGAATCCTCAAAAACCTCGAAATATTTTTTTAAAGATTAGAGATTATAAACAATGTACTCACGTAGACGGTGTCGTACTTTCTGCCGAAGACGTTGATGTCGTACCCGAGGTATATTGGAAGGTTGGTGTCTGTCTGTAGGGTCATGTCTCCAGTCTTCCGGCCGAAAGGGTAGAGACTTCCAGCTACATACATAAAGAAAATCCTGTACAACAAAGACCGTGCCGTACACTGTGACACGTCGTTAATCAGGACCCTGTTAATCCAGAAACCTCTCTTTTGATGACCTTGTTCGAAACGTCTATATTTACGGCAACATCAGTTATTCGAAAAAAACATGAATATAGAGAGAAGTTCACTTTGAATAGTATAGTCTGGATTAACGAATGTGGCAATTGATTTCGTGAGAAACTAGAGTGTTTTGAATAATAACTTGTTCAAGTCGTTGGACGTGTATTTTTGAAGCCTGCAGATTTCAAGTGATAGCGCACAGTTCGACCACGTATTCGCCTGGGGCAAATGAACCTGTTCTTAATTGACGATCTGTCTCTATTACCTAAACCAATGTCTGAGATTTCCGACCTAGTTATCTATATGAAGTTCATTTCTGCGCTACTGTCACGTACTACCGGTATACCGTTACCTAGCAACAGTTGCCCATCCCGTAACAGGACGATACGTCATTCTAGGTACAATGGATGGGGGCGGTGGGGTAGCCTAGTGGCCTAAGCGTTCGCTCGTCACGCTGAAGATCTGGGTTCGGTTCCCCACATGGGTACAATGTGTGAGGCCCATTTCTGGTGTCCCCCGCCGTGATATTGCTGGAATATTGCAACAAGCGGCGTAAAACCATACTCACTCACTAACATGGATGGCCCAGCCGTCTAAGACACTGCAATTCGCTCTGCAGAGTTGTGTCCCTTTGATAAGCCATAAACATATGGTCGCTTGTCTGATTATATATCTGGGTTTATCAGCACCATCCCCGTGTACATATATTCATCATGCCTGGGAAGCTGCATCACTTCGGACTTTCCTCCTACATCAAGCTGACATACCGTGATATAACTGGGATTCTGATAAAAGTGGTGGTAAAACCCAACGCTCTCATTCCTCAAGCTATACATTTCCCACAGTAAACAGACATATATATGTGTAGAATTCATAACGGGCAGTCTGCGTTGACGATGACAAATCAGACTTACTGCTACACTCGGCCGTGACGTCAGGACTCCACGCCAGTCCACCAGTATCACTCCTCGTACACGTGTAGGTCGTCTCGCCGCGGAGGAGGCCCATGTTGCGGCAGCCGGTGATGGTGACGGTGCTGTTGAGGTTGTAGTTGTAGTTATCTTTTAACGAGTACGGCACGTTGAGGAGGCCGCAAGTCTCACCTAAGTAAAGGAGGTACATTGAATAAGAGACTTAACATCACTTAACATCATTTAGTAATGAACAAAATTAATCATGCCAGTTTGCGTTGACATCCAATGATAATGACATGAATTTAACACAGGAGTTATTTCAGAAAATAAGTGGGAAAATTTACAACACATATAAAAAGAGTTATTTACACAATCATTTTTACCAATACCGTTGTAGTGTGTACTTTGAACGATATTTCAGCATAATCACTGCGAAATAGGCTTCACACATTGTATCATGTGTAGAATCGAGCCCAGTTTTCGACGTGACGAATCAACGCTTTAACCATTAAACTACCCCACCACCCCGTAATGTTAAAGAAGAAATCAAAGTGTACATTAGCCATCTAATTCTTCAGCTTTGACACATTTACTTAAAGTAACAATCTGATTTAATAATTATTTCATTTATTAAATGTTGATATAACAGTATTTACTGGTTTGTTGGAAACTCTTAAGCTCAGTGAACCAGCCAGAGGCAATCTTGGATGCGTTCGCAATGTCCACGTTGCTTGTGACTGTGTAGTCAAAGCGGCACTGCGCATTTGCCCCACAAGTAGAGTTGAGGTCTTGTTCCGCAATATTTGAACCCTGAGGAGCTGCAAAAACTGGGACGAACTGTATGTCCGCCATGTCGTGGTACGAGAACAAGGACTCTCTTTCTGGCACGTCCCCTTAAAAAGAAACATACACGATGAACTGACTGAATATAGAATACGTCTATATCTCTGTATTCGTGACCATCGTCCAGCGATTGCACTATGCGACCTGAATGATCGGGAATAATCTATGACGATGTTTATCGTTGATCATCACATCAACCACTGGTTTGTTTGGTAAAATTGTGACAGCGGTAAAACCGTCGGGTGCGTCGTAAAACAACATTCACTCGATCTTAGTGTTTGTTCAACGCCGATCGCAACAATACCATAGCGATAATCGAGTATGATTTGTACGTTTGTTTGTTGTATAACACATAATATGACAGATATCTGTTAACAGATCGAGTCTGGACCAGTAAATCCAGGGATCAACTGCGCATCTATTCACGCAACTGGGATTCGATAACATGTGTTAACCAAGTCAGCGATCCCGATGATTCCATCGTGTTAGTAGCCTCTTAACGACAAACATGGGTTGCTGAAGACCAATTCATCACGGTTGGTTGGTTGGTTGGTTGTTGTTTAACACCGCATTCAGCAATATTCCAGCTATATGGCGGCGGTCTGTAGATAATCGAGTCTGGACCAGACAATCCAGTGATCAACAGCTTGAGCATCGATCTGCGCAATTGGGAACCGATGACATGTGTCAACCAAGCCAGCGAGCCTGACCACCCGATCACGTTAGTCGCCTCTTACGACAAGCACGGGATGCTAAAGATCAATTCTAACCCGGATCTTCACGTATAATCGCGTCTGAACATGAGGATCCAGTTGATGATACATATATCATAAACAACTATCCACGGTGCTAAATGTTAACTGCAAGCATTGTCACTTTCCCGTCGACGATTGTTTCGAAAATGCATTGAAATGTAGACGATTATCTATGGAATCCTGGAATTGACACTGTCGCGTTGTCCATAATTATCTGTGTGGAGTTAAAACCACGATAACTAATAACTAAATTCGTTACATCCGAAGTAATTACTGACTGACATTACATGTCGATACGTACATGTTGTTCCGAATGCCTGGTAAATGTTCTCCGCTGATGATGTGGCATTTATCATGTCTCCGTTCTTGGCTGTGAAGTCATCATACATGTCTCCATTCCACGTCCCCATCAGGCCTGACGTCATGTTCTGTTGAGTGAGTGAGTTAATTTGGTGAATTTTAGTTATGCTACTGTTATGCAACCTAAAGTACATTTGTGTGACTACGGTTAAGCTGGCTTTCAGCAATCTTCTAGCAATATTATATATTGTCACTATATGGCTAAAATAATGCCGATGTGACGTAAAGCCCAACTCAACTCAGCTTTAGCAATATCATGGCAATGGTTGCCATACATACCCTATGGGCTTCAAAGATAGCAATACAAGAGGGGAATCGAACCCTGACCTTCGGAGTTACTAGCGACCGCTTCTACCACTGGACTACTCGCCTACCCCACTCAATGCACAACGTAAGCCCAAGAAGTGCAGTGATGATGTAAATGATGGAGGCTGTTAAAGTAGACGTCTTGGAGCAGAATCCGAAAATATATTCTGTCTCTCGAAATCAGATTATTACTACTCATGGTCACCTTGAAGCTGGGCGGCATGTTGACGATGACGTGAAGGAGTCTGTTTGACGCCGCGACCTGCACCCCTACTCCCGACTGCATGATGACGGTGAAGTTGTCGTGGAGGTTGTTGTCGGGGTCGGTAGCAACGTTGATGACAGACACACCACCTATAGTTTTTCAGCAAAACTGTTCTCATATGTTTGATTTTAAAGACCCATAGTATTATTTACGGCGTGTACGAAATGGTGACAAGACACAAAAGTTAAAAGAATAAAGCATGAGAAATTTTCAAAATAGCACATTTATGTTTAGGCCTTTTGAAGCAGCAATTACTAAAAGGTCAATTTACGTCACGGAGACTGAATGATCATTACCGCTGAACTCTTGCTTAAAGATGGCCAAAGCATCAAACAGCTTCATTTTTCCATCCACAAAGACATCGAGACGCCTGCCACTGTTGAGCCCGGGGGAGCGAGACGTATCTCCACTCTGGGGCCAGACACCCCCAACATAGCAACTGACGTCAACACGGTGGCGTTGACGCTGTTACCGTCAGCTGAAACATACAAACATATACTACAAGACTCTTCAATATCGTAAATCCAATGACCTTTGTACATTGCTGTATGTAAAGATGATCTGGATAGCAGGAACATGTATATTAGACGTAAATATCTACCAGAATGTCATTTTACCATGGTTCTGTTCTCCTATGTCGAACTTCCCTTGGAGAGAAAACTGGGTCGACTTTACCAGGTAGTAGTCTCCCTTGCCTCCAAAGTTGTACAGCTTTCCGTCAAATGTCATGATGTGGGGGTCTCCGTAAGCCATGGCTGTCGGAGGAAGCACAGAAATTCTTATTAGAGACAGAGAGCGCAAAAACCGCCGATATTCAATGGGCTTCAATTAATCTATCAATATCTAGTATGTACCTTATACAATCCCTCTCAAACATCGTCTACTTTGGGAAGGAGGTACTTAATACAACACCGGGTGGTCAATATAGATTGTAAACCAAAATTCACTGTGTTCTTTAATCTGATTGGTTGAAAAACGTGATCAAATGGTATTCGATTCCCGGAAATTCGCTGCGTATTAATACATACAAACATCGCTCACACCATTGTATTGTTACGTCGTCAGCTGTGATGACGTCATTCAAATCATATTGTGACGTAAAGTCCGAATGACGTCACAAATGAGCAGTTCCAGATGCTACCAATGAGAGACAGCCGAAACGACCGGTTGATGACATTTCACTGCTGTTCCCGTACACGATGTCAATGAGTGCAGACACAAAAACGTGTGTGGACCTTTTGGTTTACTTTTGTGTTTACAATGTCGATAAACATCATGTGTTGGCCAATTTCCGGGTGTTATTGAGTATTTGAAGCACGGGAATATTCCATTTGAAACCTCCGGCTGACGCCGTCGGTTCCAAATAAATTCCCGTGCTTCAAATACTCAATAACACCCGGAAATTGGCCAACACATGATGTTTATCTCCCAAATGTTACCCTCACTTGCTTTAGGAGGGCAGCACTTGTTACAACACCGGGTGATCGAATAAGCTTCATAATGCTCACCTGATTAAGGAAGGCGGTACCCGTTACAGTACCGGGTGGTCCAATAAGATTCATTACGCTCACCTGCTTAAAGAGGACGGTACCCGATACAACACCGGGTGGTTCAATATGCACTGTTACCCTCACCTGCTTGAGGAGGGCGGTACCCGTTACAGTCGCGAGTAGGCCGCCTTGCCATATAGTCATCGCAGTTACTGTTGTCGGTCCACAAACAGCAGTAGTAGAATGTGACCACGTCATGTATCCAGTGGGAGAAATACGGCACAAAGTCGGGTTTGTTGTAGGGGGCGGCGCCCCAGTCGTGGCTGCGGTCGGGGGTGCTGCCTTGGTAGGTGTCGGCGGCGTACTTCAGCACGCCATCACTGCCATAGCAACATTGGTTGCCCGCCCCTGTAGATCTGAAAGAAAAGGTTGCGATTTGACTAATAAACTATGAAAGTATATTAATTCTTTTTACAAATGAGACCGCATTCAGTCCAGAACGTTCCCCCACTGAACACGTCCGTGACATAAGGGAGACGTCAAAGGATGAAAAGGGTTGACGTGGGGTAGGATTGTCGTGAAAGGGTTCGCTTGTCACGCCGAAGACCAAGGTTCGAATCCCCACATGGGTTCAATGTGTGAAGCCCATTTCTGGTGCCCCACCCTGCCCTGTAAGTTTAGCTGGTGTTACTTAGGTTGGCAGGAAAGTTTTTCATCCAATAACACACTGAAGCATCTGTTTTCCCTTGATAGTTTTAGTTGTTGATACATACATTGGCAGAATTGCCCTTCATCTAGTAAGTCACTGAAGCATGTATTTTCCCATAATCGTTTTAGTTGTTGGTGCTTACATTTGTAGGAATGCTCCTCATCTAGTAAGACACTCAGGCATGCCTTTTCCCTGATAGTTTTAGTTGCTGACACTTACATTGACAGGAATGCTCCTCAGCCAGTAACACACTGAAGCATCTGTTTTCCCTGAATAGTTTAGTTGCTAATACTTACATGGGCATGAAAGTTTTTCATCCAATAAATCACTGAAGCATGTATTTTCCTTTGATAGTTTAGCTATTGTTACTTAGGTTGGCAGGACTGCTCCTAATCCAATAACACACTGAAGCATATGTTTTCCCTTGATAGTTTTAGTTGTTGATACTTACATTGGCAGAATTGCCCTTCATCTAGTAAGTCACTGAAGCATGTATTTTCCCATGATCGTTAGTTGTTGGTGCTTACATTTGTAGGAATGCTCCTCATCTAGTAAGACACACAGGCATGCAACTTTCCCTGATAGTTTTAGTTGCTGATACTTACATTGACAGGAATGCTCCTCAGCCAGTAACACACTGAAGCATCTGTTTTCCCTTGATAGGTTAGATGCTAATACTAACATTGGCATGAAAGTTTTTCATCCAATAAATCACTGAAGCATGTATTTTCCCTTGATAGTTTAGCTATTGTTACTTAGGTTGGCAGGAAGGCTCCTCGTCCAATGACACACTGAAGCATCTTGATAGTTTAGTTGCTGATACTTACATTAACAGGGACGTCCTTCATCCAATAACACACTGAAGCATCTTGATAGTTTAGTTGCTGATACTTATATTAACAGGAAAGTTCTTCATCCAATAACACACTGAAGCATGTATTTTCCCTTGATAGTTTAGCTATTGTTACTTAGGTTGGCAGGAAGGCTCCTGATCCAATGACACACTGAAGCATCTGTTTTCCCTTGACAGTTTAGTTGCTGATACTTACATTAACAGGGACGTTCTTTATCCAATAACACACTGAAGCATGTATTTTCCCTTGATAGTTTCAGTTGGTACTTACGTTGGCAGGAATGACCTCACACAGTGGACAGCCCCCTTGTGATAGAAACAGTTGCTGCTACTGAAAGACCATATGTTACAGCCGAGGTCAGCCTGCCAGCGGCCGAAGTCTGCCAACGCTTGACCAAGATTGCACGGACAATACAAGAGTTGGTTCATCCAGGACGACTCCACCATGTCCCTGTTTGACCATTGTGTACAGAGCTGCGGTGACCAGTTGGATCCGTACTGTGTGGTCATTGCATTCTTGACGAACCAGCCAATAGTGACAGCGTCATCAGGGGACATAACTCTGAAATGGCAATTTCAAACCTTGGTGGCATAGTGATGTTGATATATTTGTTGTTTAATTCTACACTCTGCATTGTGATAAAAGCGTTCGCTCGGGTTCGATTCCACTCACGGACACAAAATGTGAAGCCCTTTTCTGGTAACCCCCGCCGTGATATTGCTGGAAAATTGCTAAAAACTCACTCACTCACACTCTGTAATATTGCAACTGTATGCGGGCGGCCTGTGAATAATCGAAATAATACAAATCGATACAGTGATCGATACAATGAGCAACCATCCATTTGGAAGACGGCTACGACCAGCACAGGTTGCTGAGAATAAAATCTGACCGATGGTAGAACAAGCATAGCAATGTCCTCTTAATGAATTACTTGATACTTTTACATATTTACATACTTGTACATTCTTCCTCTAACAGTCAAACTAGGTAAAGTTTGTTTATTGTTTAGCGTCGCACTCGGTCTGTAAAAGGCGAGTCCAGTGATCAACAGCATGGGCATGTTTTGATACAATGACATGTGTCAACCAAATCAGTGAGGCTGACCACCCGATAAAGTTAGTCGCATCTTACGACCAGCATGGGTTGCTGAAGATCAAATTCGGTAATGACACTCATTAACTAAGGGGCTTGAAGGCTTACACATGAGCACTGACTCTGAAGTTGCAAGATATTTATTTAATGGAAGACAAAGAAAACGTTATTTACAAAACCAAATCTGTATTCGAGGACATTATTAGGTGCTATAACAGCCTCGGGACAATTATAAAAAAATGCATTTACAAACCATTCGTTTACCAGTGTATATATATTTGCTAAAATGTCAATAATCTGTCTCTATTTTAAAAATGTCCATGATTCTTTTAAATGATTGTTTTCAGAAATTTGCTAACGGGCCGCGATCGCATGGCAGGAGAACTGAAGGCAATAAAACCTAACTTTTATTCAAAATATTTGAATGGCGGGTGCTACCTGTAAGCTAGGACATGGTTATACTCTCAGCGAACACCTGGTGTCAGCACTGAATTCCAGCTGTCCGTTCGTTTAATGTTCACAGCTTGTTTTGCCCTTTGCCCAAATGGAATGTATCTCGGTGGATCATCGAGTGTTAATTGTTATGTTCGATTTGGCGTTTCAGGTTTATATTACATTGGTAAAATCTGTAAAGCTTAGTCATGGGGTCCTCCACCGTTGCCGCTGTTGTAATACAGTGGCGTAAAATATTATCTACTCTATGTACATGTACATAGGACAAGACTTACACTCTTGACGTGGCCAGGGCGTGGTACGGCTTCTGCAGCTGTACCTCGATGATGGCCACCTCGAACAGCTGGCAGTCAGCTGGTTGACACTGATGCTCTGCGGTGCGGAAGCTGTAGTTTCCGGTGTTGTTTTCAGAGGAGGCTATGACCCTCAAAGTCTTCCAGATGAGCTGAGGTGAAAAGTGAGCAGTTTGCATGAAATACTGCATATTAGCTGGGGAAGGAAAAACCCCAAATGCACGCCTATCGTGGACGTTCACAGTGCCAAGGTGGCTATGCTTCTGACAGAAAATGGTTCATAATCAAGACACAGAACATAGTTCATAATCAAGACACATTAGGGCAAGTCCGTCCTGGGATATATATGAGATACACATTTACTTGGCAGAATACGGCGTCTTAGAACATCTTACCACCCGTAAAAACGTAAACATGAGGGAAAGGGTGTTAATAGCACCAGTAGACGCAAGAGCTGGGGCAGTGGATGTATCGCAGACATGTACAGCAACACATTGCCATCTTTCACTGTTAACTTTTACCCCAACCATGTCAACGTGCATACCATGAAAAACGCTTGTACGAAATTCATAACACGTTGTAAATGGACTTATCATTTTCTAAATACATATACAATAACTGAACTTGCTTGCCAAATGGTATGCCATAAACTGGAATAGATCCTTCTTTCTGTGAATCGAATGTTTCGAATATAACCTCAGGAAAGGGACGTAAAATATCTCAAACCGAGAAAAACGAGATTCTACAACAGGTATGAGGTGAGGTGAGGTGAAATAGGGGTTTAACGCCGTATTTAAGAATATTTCGTTCATATGATGACATGCATGCGTGTGCATGTGTGGCTGCTTGTACTAGCCTAGACTGAAGCTGCTGGCTTCATTGTGCTCGATCACTGAAATACCATGCCGCAGTTAAGCATGAATACCCCACTCAGACACATTATACTGACTCCGAGCCGACCAGTCCTTGTTGTACCCATTCATGCCGAGTGCCAAGCAGGGACCAACAAGTACCGTCTTTTGGTATGACGCGGTCGGGGATCGAATCCGCGACCTTCCGCTCCCACTACACCACGGAGGCGTTTTTATCAGGTATGAAGGTTGCAAGGGGAAGCAAACGGTTTTTATTGATTTGATCGGCATTTTAGAAGTTGGTGAGCCAAAAATGAAGCATACAACATAATGGATAACAACTTCTTCTTTATTGCATAGAGCGACGTTTCGATGTAGAAGTTGTTATCCATAACGCTATATGCTTCATTTGTGATACATTTATTGGTTGATTTTACGTCATTACCTGCAGACTTGGTTCAATGTTCAACACATCTGTCACGATGGACATTCTTTATGAATGTTCTGCTGCCGATAGCCGTTGTGACACGGAGACATAAAACATCTAGGCTTGATGAGCGTAAAGAGAAGGTTCAGAAAAAGGGTCTAACTATAGGTATCTAAACGTATTTCCCAGCAACCTTTCATGTCTCCATGTCCAGTTCTCACCTCTGTCTTTGTCTCCCTGTAACCCACGAGCGTAATGTCCACCTTAGCATCTGGATCAGAGGTCATCTCGAGTGGGTCCCACGTCATATTCAGTTCTGAGGGTGTGACATCGTACCACCCCTTGCCCAGTTCTAGACTTGCGTTAGGGAGACGTAGCGGCAGAACTAGGAAACAAAGACATCAGTTTCATAACACCTTCCACTAATGCCAAACCCATTTATATAGGCTGTTTCCTTGCAAAGACATCAGTCCAGAATATTGTCCACCATTATCAACTCATGCAGGCTGTTTCACTGCAGGGGACCACAAAAGTGGTTGAGATGTTACGCAATACTTCGAAACATCGGGTGTTATTATATCCTTCTCATGTTTTGAACACACGGTTATTAAAAAACGATTTCTCAATTATTATCGGTGTATGGCAGTTCATCAGCGTACTTTTGTTTACTTTCGATAACAGTTCTTTATTTCCATTGCATGACGTCATTATTTTTCGTGACATGATTACAAACTGATAGCGATTACGTTAAAAGACAAGAAAAATTAGTTTATAAATGTTATATTCAATGTGAAAAATGTCTCCATCCAACGTTTAAAACAAGAATCTATTCGTTGTTTGCAACAAAGGAATTGGAATAAAAGATATTAGAGTAATATTAATTGGCGTAAAATTATATGAAAGGGTAAAATTTGCTTTGTCAGATGAAATAAAATGAACACCATTACGTTTGGACGTTGTACATTTTTTTCAAAATTTGTTAGTTTTATTATGATGACCTTTTTGTAGCAGAGAAAACGTGATATTGAATTAAGAAAAGTCACACAATAACATACCAACGTAGATGGTTCCATCTCCTGTAAAGGTGCTCCCACCGTCCACCGACACAGCCACCGGTACTGGTCCTCTCCCCGTGAGTCTCGGCACTGGGCACTTCAACCTCATGGAGTTAAACCTGAACCCCTCGGAGGTTACTGAACTCTCACCACTCCCGAACCGACACATGACGGACACGTTGATGTCGTCCAGACACGGACCGGAAATGTCCAGAAGTTCCCCTCCAAACATGCCGGCATATTTTGGGAGAATTTGTAGCGTACCTAAAAGTGAGATAGTGAGTTGTGGTTAACGATGTTTTAAATATATTTAAAACAGGTCAGCTTAACCTTGGTGGGTAGCCTTCCTCCGATCCATGAAACCAGGGGTGCTGGTATGTTTCGCCCAGTGACACGTCAGTAACTATCAATATTCCACACTGCAAGGACATCATCACTAATATCAGCTCAGACAACAGACCCAAATGATAGTCTCATGTCTCAAGATCATAGTTGGGATCCCACAGTTAGCGATTCATGGCTTGTGGAAGCAAATCACATATACAGGCGCCGTCTACAATAGTATCCGTCCCAGTATATAAGTGAAATAAATACGACTCCACATTCACAAAAACTTATTGAATGCTTCTGATTCTTATGACCATAGGATAATTAGACAAACATCTTAAGGGCATACTTCCATCGATAGTGCAGCCTGAACGTTCAAGTTGATCTTTCGACACTCGGAAAATGAATCTGCCTGTGACGTCACTTCCTCTTGTAGACGGCAGGTCGATGAGGTTACATCCGGTACACACACTCGTCCATCCAACTCCATGACCTCCATTTATACCCGCCTTCAGAACAAAACACAAGGCTCCAGCAGGATTGTTGTAATTAAATGCATTGAAAATACACACGATTACAAGATTGACCAGATATAAAGAAACCATATACTCGAACGAACATTGACGAATTATCAAAATTCATTTTTTTTATATCTATGTGATAAATTTGTATAACGCCTTGAATAAAATGAAACACGAAAAACAACAATAACATTTTATTGGTATTGCTTCAAAGAATGGCACGGAGTTCATAGACAGAATGGATGCACAGTATAGAAAAACTTTCAAACAATAGAAAGTACACTCTTGAAATGGTTCACTCATTATTGTGTATTGTAAAATTTCTACCCCAAGTTCATTGAGACGTTATGCGCAGGTCAACTCCTATGTGATGCTCGCTGACATTATGTATGTATGGTACATCACAAATAATCCCTGTAGTCAATACATCATGATCAAATAATCATTTCATTTTCAGTCACCATTAAACATAGATGTATACTTGATAATGCCCATCAGTATAATAATTATGTTAAAGTTACAACATGCACGTACCTGGTAAAACTGCTCTATCGTCAAACTTATATCGTTGTAGTTGAAGATAATGAAAGTATTGAGTGAGGAGGCAACAAGGACCATTTGGAATGTTGCTCTCTGAAAGTAAAAAATAACACTGTTATATTCATGTTTAATAATATTGACCTAAATCTGTTTCGTTAACAACTTTTACAGCTCCGTTACACGCTTACAAAATTGCACCCTTGGTTTATCATGATCCAAATTCATGATCTTTCGTATAATCATTGTCAATAACTTCGGAGATGTTAAGGGTAAAATTTGCTTTGTCAGATGAAATAAAATGAACATCATTACGTTTGGACGTTGTACATTTTTTTCAAAATTTGTTAGGTTTATTATGATGACCTTTTTGTAGCAGAGAAAACGTGATATTGAATTAAGAAAAGTCACACAATAACATACCAACGTAGATGGTTCCATCTCCTGTAAAGGTGCTCCCACCGTCCACGGACACAGCCACCGGTACTGGTCCTCTCCCCGTGAGTCTCGGCACAGGGCACTTCAACCTCATGGAGTTAAACCTGAACCCCTCGGAGGTTACTGAACTCTCACCACTCCCGAACCGACACATGACGGACACGTTGATGTCGTCCAGACACGGACCGGAAATGTCCAGAAGTTCCCCTCCAAACATGCCGGCATATTTTGGGAGAATTTGTAGCGTACCTAAAAGTGAGATAGTGAGTTGTGGTTAACGATGTTTTAAATATATTTAAAACAGGTCAGCTTAACCTTGGTGGGTAGCCTTCCTCCGATCCATGAAACCAGGGGTGCTGGTATGTTTCACCCAGTGACACGTCAGTAACTATCAATATTCCACACTGCAAGGACATCATCACTAATATCAGCTCAGACAACAGACCCAAATGATAGTCTCATGTCTCAAGATCATAGTTGGGATCCCACAGTTAGCGATTCATGGCTTGTGGAAGCAAATCACATATACAGGCGCCGTCTACAATAGTATCCGTCCCAGTATATAAGTGAAATAAATACGACTCCACATTCACAAAAACTTATTGAATGCTTCTGATTCTTATGACCATAGGATAATTAGACAAACATCTTAAGGGCATACTTCCATCGATAGTGCAGCCTGAACGTTCAAGTTGATCTTTCGACACTCGGAAAATGAATCTGCCTGTGACGTCACTTCCTCTTGTAGACGGCAGGTCGATGAGGTTACATCCGGTACACACACTCGTCCATCCAACTCCATGACCTCCATTTATACCCGCCTTCAGAACAAAACACAAGGCTCCAGCAGGATTGTTGTAATTAAATGCATTGAAAATACACACGATTACAAGATTGACCAGATATAAAGAAACCATATACTCGAACGAACATTGACGAATTATCAAAATTCATTTTTTTTATATCTATGTGATAAATTTGTATAACGCCTTGAATAAAATGAAACACGAAAAACAACAATAACATTTTATTGGTATTGCTTCAAAGAATGGCACGGAGTTCATAGACAGAATGGATGCACAGTATAGAAAAACTTTCAGACAATAGAAAGTACACTCTTGAAATGGTTCACTCATTATTGTGTATTGTACAATTTCTACCCCAAGTTCATTGAGACGTTATGCGCAGGTCAGCTCCTATGTGATGCTCGCTGACATTATGTATGTATGGTACATCACAAATAATCCCTGTAGTCAATACATCATGATCAAATAATCATTTCATTTTCAGTCACCATTAAACATAGATGTATACTTGATAATGCCCATCAGTATAATAGTTATGTTAAAGTTACAACATGCACGTACCTGGTAAAACTGCTCTATCGTCAAACTTATATCGTTGTAGTTGAAGATAATGAAAGTATTGAGTGAGCAGGCAACAAGGACCATTTGGAATGTTGCTCTCTGAAAGTAAAAAATAACACTGTTATATTCATGTTTAATAATATTGACCTAAATCTGTTTCGTTAACAACTTTTACAGCTCCGTTACACGCTTACAAAATTGCACCCCTTGGTTATCATGATCCAAATTCATGATCTTTCGTATAATCATTGTCAATAACTTCGGAGATGTTACTGAAATACTTAGTAATAGAATTCAGATGGGATGTTGTGTTGTAATCTGATTGGTTGATAAGCATTGTGGGAAAGGAGAATGGAAATCGATAGCCAAGAATTTTCAGTTCTTCATACTGCATGTTAATTATTTTGGTAATAAGTGCATACGTTTCTAACTCTACGTTTCTAAATAACGTAGCGACATGATTATGTCGTATTCTATATACCTTGAAGACACTGTTCATTTTCCAGATCAACAACACGGCAGACAATTTGTCTCTCCCAACGATGCCGTTCAGTTAAGGGCATACGATGGCTCTGATGGCTCTGTTAGACATCTAAGAGGCCAAACATTATATTATGACGCCAATGCATTTTGAATGTTAGGAACAGAAAGAAATTTACTAAAGGAATTTATGAGCACAATAACTAACGCCAATCCCTTGAAACAATGAAGCCAGAGAAACAACACTGAACATGGCAATTGAATACATGTAGTGATTACCTGACATTCACACGGCTGAGACGCGGCTGTGACGTTCTCCCACGTGACCACTAAAGCTACAGCCGGCTCGAACGGCAAATTACCAACTGTAGCATTCAGCATGTAGTACCGTAGCTCGGTCAGGAAGTCTTGGTCTTCAGTGGTGTTGCTGTAATATAGTCTGTAGTAGATCTTCCCCTCCGAGTCACTTGTGATGTTGTTTCCATTAAAATGGAACGGCGCCAGAAAGGAAAGGTCATGGTCGGGGTCACGGCTGCCATCTTGAAAACGAACTTCTTCATACTTGACGTCCGGGTTGAGCCCAACAACACCGTCCTTGCTAATCTAATTCATAAATGTAAATCATGGGTTAGTGGTTTCTGTAAGTAGTGTGGTATGTTTACTGAAACAAAGTGAATTCCTTTGGGTATTTTTCGCTTATTTCTGCAGTCCTCCACCTATATGACGGTGACCCATAAACAATTTGAATCAGGCAGTCTAGTAAATTACGTAATGGGCATTGATCATCGGGATGCGATGATATTCAGTCACGTCACCGGGTCTGAATATCGTTATCCATCAAGCCACTTCTACGACTGGGGACCTACTCTTTCACGGAGTCCCGACCCGACCATTTCAAGTATGTGTGCTAGTATATGGTACTCTGCGCCTACTCTTGAAGAGCATTTTTCATTTTTCGCTTTGGCATAAGTGCTGATGTTAAAATGGTTTAAGTCTGTGTAATAATTACGTAAAGGCAGCAAACTGAGAATTATGACTTCTGATATTGTTTCTTTTTTATTAGTTTTGAAATTCAGGGGCGGATACAGCCTTTTTAGAAAGAGGGGTGCATACTTTTGAGAAAGGGAGGGTGCACATTTCATTTTCACCCGGCATATGAACCTCATTTAAATATATGTATGGTCACAAATCGTTTTAATAGCAAATTGTGTGCCTCCGGGGAAATACCTGTTCGTGTTCAGGAGTCACATAAATAGAACGCGAAACTCTATATGATGACGAATGTCCTTAATGTTGGACATTACTCTGTAGTAATAACTCGACCGGATAACTAATTCAACTTTGATTACTTCACCGCGTATACCAAAACTAACTGTTAAAGGTAATTGATACAAATACATTACACCTGACATTAGCCTGTCATTTAAGTCAGCACAAACTATTTGACAGAAACAACCATTTTCGCATTTCCTATCGCGATGTGACACCCCTAATGTATCTATTCCATGCCAACGAACTTCAACCAAACCTAGTGTGCTGGACTTGAAAAGAAAAGAAAACTTCCGGGCAAAAGAAAATATAGATCCGTATTTGATCGGCGGTGTCGAAAAATGAAGAAAAACAAAAAGAAGACCTGTTTAATCGATGGTGCTGTATTTGATAAGGTATTGTGTTATATTTTGAAACTGAAGTGTGTAGTATTTCGGCAACCGTTTTAAGCCTTGTAACGTTTGTAGTTTTAGTGAGTGAGTATGGTTTTACGCCGCTTTTAGCAATATTCCAGCAATGTCACAGCGGGAGTTTTTTAGTCAGACATATAGTGTAATATACGAACCCTCTATCCTTTCTTGTGCTCAGCAGTTTACAATGGATCAAAGGTGGCTCGTGTGTCAAAGATATGTCTGGGATGTAATGTACTTTTAACGATGACAAGGCAACGTGCAAACAGTGACGTTGTACGTCTACTCTCACGGCTGTACTCACGTAAACGGTGTCGAACTTCCTGCCGAAGTAATTGTAGCTGTTGCCAAGGTTGACAGGTACGTTGTCTGTATTGAGGGTCACATCTCCTTCTCCATACGGGTACAGACTGCAATCTGTAACACAGATCAGTCATGACCTGATGAACTCTTAGTGAATTATAGGTATGTGTTATCTGAACATACATTTTCCCCTGTTATGGTTAATTAATGGGAAGGAGGCACTATGCCACCGCATTCGATACTATTGAGGTGCATGTTTGTATATACCAAGAAGGGGATTCGAACCTGGTACTTCGACATGACGAACAATTGTTTCTAATTAAATTATCTTCCACATCAGGCCGTGCATTGTGATAGTAGGTGTGACAGTGGGGTGGCCTAATTGTTCGATTCCTTAGATAGGTACAATGTGTGAGGCCCATTTCTGGAGTCTGGTCTGGTCGCTGGAATATTGCTAAAAGCGGCGTAAAACCTAACTCAATCACTGATAGTGCGTGAGTAACTGATTAGTTCAAAGCTGCACTCAGCAATAGTTCAACTATATGTTGACGGCTTGCAAATAATCGACATTAGGCCAGACATAAATGTGACTATTTTAGACACAAGTAGCGGCACACACTACAGGGCTACGATAACACAAGCTGCCGAGTTATAAATTTTGCTGTAAACATCGCCGCTCCTTTGATGCGCGATGTCGATTGTCGAGTTTATATTCCCATTAAATTCTTTTGTCTGCCAGTACAAAACCACATCTCAGTGTTTGACGTCAATATAGCGCTGCGCCATTCACAGTTTGGCCACACAGACCATAGAAGCCAATATATATGTACCAGTGTTATCAGAGCTGGAAGTCAGACAAACACACAACGTACTCTAGGGGTGGATACAGCTTTTCGAGAAAGGGGGTCCACACTATTGAGAAAAGGAGGGTGCACACTTCATTTTCACCCGAGTTTCAATGGTCATTTAACAAACTTTCAGCACAAAAGGGGGGGGGGGGTGCGCACCTCTGCACCCCCCTCTGGATCCGCCTATGTACTCATATAAAAAGCGACCCGTAGCTTCTCATTTCCAAGCGCCATTCACAGTACAATCACACAACAAACTTCACGCTCCGAAACGTCACCTGTCACGTGTTTCGTTACGTCAGTCCTTGATCAAATAACCTTCATTCACTGAGCCGTTTTATTCACTTTAACATGCATGTGACACAGTTAAGAGAAGCAGTTGTGTATTGGACCAGGGTATGAGACAACAACAGACAAAACGTTTGCAAGTCATCATGTCAGTCTATGCTGGCCTCAAATAATGTTTCTGTAAGGGGATCCTCTTGTGGAGGTTCATTCCATAGGCCTATAATTCAATTAGACTTCAGACTTCACAAGCCATCTGAGTGAGTGAGTGAGTGAGTGACTGAGAATGGTTTAGCGCCGCTTTAAGCAAAATTCCAGCAATATCACGGTGGGGGGACACCAGATATGGGCTTCAGGCATACCTTCCATGTGGGGAAAAGCAGTCAATCAGTTAGAGAATTGATTTCCAATCAGTAATATTGGGGTTCTTGTATAGTTACTTGGAGTCAACTTAAGGAGGGGCGGTGTGGTAGCTTAGTGGTTAAAGCGTTCGCTCGTCACGTCGAAGACCCGGGTTCGATTCCCCACATAGCTACAATGTGTGAAGCCCATTTCTGGTGTCCCCTGCCGTGTTATTTTGCTGGAATATTCCTAAAAGCGGCGTAAAACCATACTCACTCACTCAACTTAAGGTGTCATGAACCTACTGTCTTGTAAATCACGGGAGGCTAATGCAAGTATGCTTAACACTCATCCCTGTGTCTCAGCTCCATATGCCGTTCCTAAACAAACACAACCCCATGCTATATATATCCCCACGAAGGTACGCACTGCTGACTGACGGTATCGGTTTTCTTAACAAAGACAGGCTGTAAATATGACCGTGTGGTTAACGTCATGATCTCCTAAGATATTCCCCACATCCATGTATACCTCAGAAATGAAGACATTTGACATCGACTCAGCAGTTTTGTATATGAAATAGGAATAAAAACGGATCCGGCTGTGAGAGTGTGAAATGACGTTAATCAAGTGAATAATATCATAAACGCACACACCTACGCATGCATATGCTCAGGAACAACACTCTAAAATATTACAATGTCCTGTTCTCTATTTGCTGCGTGGCGTTAACACTAGGTGTTTGATGTCCTTCTTGATCATGGAATAGTATCATTTTGATTAGTGCCTAATCTCTGCATAATTTAATCATGTACATATGTTTTATGTAAGATAGTCATTATGTATATAGAATGGACGTGTTGGAAACACCAGCATCGACCTATGCAACTGGGATACGATGACATGTGTCAACCAGGTCAGCGAGACTGACCACCCGATCCCGTTTGTCGCCTCTTACGACAAGCATAGGTTGCTGAAGACCAATTCTAACCCGCATCTTCACGGGTCCTCTTACTTGGGGAATAGATGACCAATAACTTTGAGGTCATCCACATGCTCACCAATGGTGTGAATGCTCCAATCGGCCGACGTTTCGTGTTCCTTCTACACTAGTGAGTAGCTACAGGTGGGGTTCGGTTTAACACTGCTCTGATCAATATTTTAGTTAATAATATGACGGTTTGTCGCCTGTATGTGAGAATTGGGCAGGCTTTACAAATGTATCACTTTGGAGAAACGCTGTTCGCAATACCAAGGATCGTAATCGAAATGAATCTAGGATTCGAAACACAGGATCTTTAAGGGGAGGCAACTCTGCAAGGCGACTTAGACGAAAGGGCCACCTGTAACTGTCCAACATTAGCCTCACACGCACAAAAGATAGTTTTGCAAGAGGAATTCATCTCAAGTTCCTCATTCGTGTGAGAAAACAGGGATACGAGGACAGCTATCAGGCTGACAACCCAAGACAACAAGGATTATCATATACGACTAGCAAAGCCTGGCATACGTAACATTGCGATTGCGAATTTCAACGCCTTAATCAACCTCAATCCAACTCAAGCGTGTTGAGATATATATACGTTTAAAATGAAAGCAGAAGGTCTTAATTTAATAAAAGCACACGCGTTACTGTTATTCATGCATACGCTCTACATTAATCACACTGAGGGCTTGCTTGACATATCTCTCACCTGAATATGTGACAAGACAAAGCGCTGCTAATAACCACAACATCGTTGAGAATGGCGATGTCGTTAAACCCTTGTAGGAGGAGAGTAACCGCCCGGCTCCGTTCTCCGCGTTGTCGTGCCCGATGAGGAATGGGCGTGGTTGTTTCTCAGGAACGGAACCACAAGCAGATGCGTGTACAGACCCTGCCAGGATTAGCCTCCACAACGAGGACAACTCGAGCGTCTAGCAAACAGACTGGTAATTGTACACCATAACCCCAATCCTGGGTCGACAGTTACCAGTTGTGACGACATTGTGCATGTGCAGTGACTATGTACAATGCAATATGTTTATCTATTATGTGTCTATTACAGATGTCCCCATGTTGTTGTTTTTACTGCGCAAGTGAGTGAGTTTAGTTTTACGCCGCACTCAGCAATATTCCAGCTATATGGTGGTTGTCTGTTAATAAACGAATCTGGACCAGACAATCCAGTGATCAACAGCAGGCGCATCGATCTACACAATTGGGATACAATGACATGTGTCAACCAAGTCAGCGAGCCTGACCACCCGATACCGTTGACGCATGTCATCATTGGTTGACACATGTCATCGGTTCCCAATTGCGCAGATCGATGCTCATGGATGTTGTAAAACTAAACTCACTCACTCACTCTTAACACTCCCCTTTTACTTATGCATAGTGTATAGAATAACACCAAGCTAACTTGTTACTCACCCAAACCTCTGCAGTGAGTATAGATGTAAAAGTTAAAAACTCCATTCATATGTCAAGCAGGTCAACGAGCCAGACCACCCGATAACCTTAGTCGCCACTTACGACAGGTATGGGTTGCAGAAGACTAGTTCTAACCCGATCTTTACGAGTAGGACAAGTTGGAGGTGCTCTTGGATGTATGAGCTGAGGTCGTGTTAAATCAGGACATGACATAACACAGTGTTTAGACTTGTAAGATGAATGACATTACCTGGCGGTAAGAATAACTAGGTCGGGACAAACAAGTGGATGTTGTATTGTATAGTCGGTATCGTCACATGAGACGTTGCCTGCATGGAGAGCTTGACATTATCTCTTGTGCTCACATCACATTTAATGAGATTGCACGGTTCGCGTGGGTTTCAACAAACTAGTTAAGGCATAAGGAATTGATAAACACGAACATGAATTTGGACTTGTCGTTAATAACCTTGTGAGCGAGATGAATTTTACAAGGCCGCTTTGAGCACTAGGCTGCTTATTCGGGTGGATGTGGAAGGAACGCAATGCATGGGCACACGTCACTGTCATTCAACTAACGTCTAATTAGGCCGGTGTTGGAGGATCAGATCAATCCCCAGGACCAGAAATCCAGAGTGATTTCGTCCAAGGATCAAATAGCTCAACCAGGATATTAACACTCCTCTTATACATAGACATAATATACTGAGAGAAACAAATAAAGGATCACAGGAAAATTCAAGCGTTCCTTTTTCCAGTTTTCATCACCAGCTTCGAATACTGATGAAAACTGGAAAATAATAAAGGAACGCTTCAATTTTCTTGTGATCCTTTATTTGTTTCTCTCAGTATATATCAGATTATCAACCAAACTAGTAACTCTCCCAAGCCTTTGCAGTGATCGTAAACATACAAGTTAAAGACTTTATTTTTACGTCAGGATTTAATATAAGGATATTAACTTGAAAGCTCTAATAAATATTATTCGCGATGGCATAGGCACTGAAAGGTATATCTGCAGGGTCTTTGATGTTGTAAAACTTGAGTTATGTAGCTAAATCTGGTTGACATAAATCTTGAAGGTCACTGAATAGCAATAAGAAAGGCAGGATACTTTATGACTGACAACTTCTTTATCATATAATGATGCAAGGTTTCGGTATTGGTTCTTGCACCTTTGTCAAGGAAGAGTGTAGATCCTATACCGAAGCGTCGCATCATAACATCATAAAGAAGTTGTCATCCATTAAGTATATTACCTGTCTTATTATTCATCAGCTTCCCAAATGCCAATCAAAAAGATGTATAGCCATGTTTAAGATAATGCGAGCTGGCAACGGGTAGGATATCTGTGGTGTTTTCAAAACACACCACATAAAGTTTGGGACTTTTAAGTCACAATAAAACAACCCCCAAACATCTAAAACATTTGGAGTGTACTTTCTTTTGTAAGTCAATATATATTGAAAAGTGAGTGAGTGAGTTTAATTTTACGCCACACTCAGCAATATTCCAGCTATATGGCGGCGGTCTGTAAATAATCGAGTCTGGATCAGACAACAAAGTGATCAACAGCATGAGCATTGAACTACGCAACAGGGAACCGATGACATGTGTCAACCATGTCAGCCAGTCTGACCACCCGAATCAGTTAGTCGCCTCTTACGACAAGCATGGAGTTACTGAAGATCAATTCTAACCCGGAGCCTTCACGGGTCTTATAATGAAAAGACCAAACGATCTATCCAAAGTCTTTTCAAAGTAATGCGGAGGAACAAATTCAGTCGAAAGAAGGACATGAATATTTATGTGTGTGTCTGTGTGCCTGCTCGCGTGCGTACGTGCGTACGTGCGTGTGTATTCGCCAAAGGACCTGATATATCTTGAATGTCACCTAACATAACATTCAATCCAGATTAATGCGTTCACCATAAGAGACTTGCAAACACAGGTGAGAACCGAAAACTTTCGAGGCCAACAAACAACGATCCAACAAGTATGTCGCTCAGCCGGGGGTATATTATTCAAAAGATGAACAGGTGTATATTACACCACGTGAACAGGTTGTGATGGCTTATCCTCTCCCGGCTGACTGGTTCTGAGAACATCCTGTCAACATGTCATTGAAAACATGCAAACTATCCTCATTGAAATATGCAGGCTTTAAGCGGGGAGCCCGCGGCGTATTTCATACAAGAGAAAAATCTGCGTATAACAGCATGAAGTTGACACATCGTTCCGGATTCGAGGTGTCTGTGTTTTTAAATATAGACACGGATACATCACCATATACCGTCAACGCCAGAGATTAACCAGTCTCGAATATCGAAACGGGTATCATTGGGCGTAAAAAGCATACTAGGTGTGACAATTACATGAGTGTGTGAATGAGTGTGTTTGGTTTGTACGCCGTTTAGCAATATTCCAGCAATATCACGGCGGGGGACACCAGAAATTGGCTTCACACATTGTACTCATGTGGGGAATCGAACCCGGGTCTTTAGCGTTACAAGTGGCCACTTTAACCATTATGCTACCCCACCGTCCCGACAATTACATGCATGGATCCTGACAGTATGAGTGATAACATTAAATGACACCTTTACGTTAA